ATATAGCCAGTTGGGCTTTGGATCCGTGGACGTAAGGCTTCGGTCTGAACTACGTAAATGCTGTGTTCTCTCTTCTTTTCTCTCCATTCTCCATTTAATGTCTGTGCATGTATGCACCCACGAATTCTAACATGGTATCAGAGCAAGATTCACGATTTGGTATTTCGTCTTGAGCCTTTTTGGCAACGTACTCTTAGCCTAAGACCGAAGGCCTGCCGCCATTGAAGCACCTCAAATCCCATCGATTGTACTTGATCCTCTTTGTTATTCTTCTTGGTTGGTAAGTTTCATTGCCTGGTATGGCAACCTTGAAGGAACTTCTTCCCCATCCAAAGTTGGCAACCACTGGTGTCTATGACTTCTCATCAGACCCATGGTTCAAAGATCGCTTCATTGACCCTGTAACATAGAGTATTAATTCAGCTTCCAAAGCAAAACAAAACGAGCTGGTTTTGTTCCTCGAAACCTGATGATTTTGGAGATGGTGGGGCCTTTCTTGAGATCCACATCGCCCAGTATCCACTTGGTATGGGTCGAAAGAAGAGAAGAGAAGAGAGACTAAAAAATCCTTTCCCTCACTGAAGATGCACATGGTAATGTCGCGTTCGATGCCATAGTCAAACAAAATGAGAATGCATCCAAGATTGTCTATTCGCAACACAAAGACTTGCTCTCAAAGTTGATGAATGATGAGGAAAAGAAGGATGAGGAAGAAGAAGAAATAGCAAATACGACACAGAGAGGACTGTAGAGATGAGGTCTAAGTTACAAAGGGAGCTCTTGCTCAACAAGAAGAATATGAAGGAGCAAGAGTTACGTGCTCTTGCTCAGAAAGCAAGGTCAGAAGAGGACTGGAGCAGGGCCTGTAGTTGCCGCCTCAGATAAAGGTGCAATTGATGTGGCCGAGGAGGTTACCCCATCTTTTCATGGAGGTGTGAGAAGGGGAAATTTGAATAGGGTAAAAGAAAATCTCAGAAGGTTAAAGTGAGAAGGAAAAAGAGTTTGATTGGCACAGCTAGCACGCCCTTCTCCGTGCGCATAATCCTCATGACCATATCGTGTGCTCAGAGATCCTTCACCACACAGAGTTATTGTGAGCTTTGAAGTTCAACAACTTTATCTAAAATCACTGCCCAGGGTGTCGTTTGAATCTCATTGTCAGTAACTTTAAGACTTTTGTAATAGAAGTCACGAATTTCGAGTGTGTTCCTTAGCTACGCAAAGAATATCAGAAAGCAAACATCAAGATAGAGAGAGAAAGAGAGTTTCCAGGAGGTCTTGTTGCTCCTCTGCCTCTGGTTGCCGTTAAAGAGCTTTTCGTTGCAGTAACAAGAAGAAAAGTTAGAGAGAGAGAGAGAGAGAGAGGGAAAGTGTGTTTGATGAAACAAAAAGAGACAATTATATTGTTTGTTGGTGCTGGTGCTGATGTTTCTGTTTTCTAGAGTAAGCAAGTTGTGACCAACATTGTGCAGGTTGTGATTGATGAGAGTGGACCTTATGCTCAAAACCGGAGCAGCACCGACACCGATGACGACCCTGGAGTTGTTGCTTGAGTTCTATATGAACTATTGGTTCTTCCAAGTGCCTCATGTTTGATGATCAAATTTTTCGATTCTGGTTGATAATCAAGCTTTCTGTTACTTGATCCTGTTTGATGATGGAGTTTTTGTTTACTCCATCCTATGTGACAATCGAATTTCTCGATCCTGGTTTATGATCAAGTTTTTTGTTACTTGATCATGTTTGATGATGGAGTTTTCCGTTACTCCATCATGTGTGATGATCGAGCTTACTCGATCATGTTTGTTCCAGATGCCTATGTTTCAATAATTGAGTTTACCGTTACTCAATCTTATTGAATGATTGAGTTTTGCGTTGCTCAATCATGTGAGATGATCGAATTTCTTTATGTTATTTGATCATGTCTACTGATCTAGTTTTTCGTTACTCGATCCTAGAAATTTTGAAGACCTGAAAATCAAACTCAGTTCTTTTATGCATCTTATTATTCAAACGCCAGCTGTTTTGTGTCAAAGCATCTTGAGTTTGAGGGGGAGTGTTAAAATATTGATATTTCGAGTTCATATTGATATACATCATTATAGAAGTCTGTGTATATATCTCTTGGTAAGATTAGGTATCTAGAAGATAATAAGAGATCAAGTCAAAGTTACATAGTCATCAAGTTATTAAACCATATTTATCTTCTCTAATTGTGTGATTATCTTTTATAAATAGGGATACTTCTGGATGTAAACATTCATCCAAAAATAGTGAAGATGTAGTCAATTGGATTTTGGATCCGCAAGCACAAGGTTTCGGCCTGAACCACATAAATGTTGTGTTTTATCTTCTTCTCTCTCCATTCTCCATTCAATGTATGTGCATGTATGCTCCCACGAATTCTAACATCGATAAAAAAACTAAAAAAAATTCAAAAATGCAAATTATAATATAAAATGCAAGAGCATTTAGATCTGTACGAAACGAATCATGAAAAAGATCCTATGACTCGGAACTAGGCCTAACGGAACTCTCAAGTTTATGTTTCTAAAGTTGGACTATGTATGTCTAGGTCCAAAATCGAACTTCGGTCGGGTCGACTTATCAGGTCTAGAATGCGTCCTGAACCCATTGTCGGCCCTACTTCTGTTTTTTTTCTTTTCTTTTTTTGAACAGGTTTTGCTTGGTTTAAAGCAGTGGTTTAAAAAATGGATCGATGCCCCGGATCAGGCATCCCAAAAACCCATCCAAATCGGTGAATCAGCGATCTGGATCGAGAATCAACTGAATCGATCGGATTAAACCTTAAAAAAAATCCAAAAAAATTATTAAAATTCATTATAAATGTTGGGTTTCAAGAATCCAATAAGAAATTGAGGTACTACATTATTAACTTTCATTTTTTTCATCAACATGCGAATATTGAGATGTTCTTTTCCTGTATAAAAAAAAAAAAAAATTCAAAATATACCACATTCAATAAACGAGATAAAAGGAAAGAAAAAAGAGGGAAACGTCAACTTAAATATTCGAGTTACTTCAACAAAAGATCAACACAATTGGATTCACTTAACAAATAGATAAAATGGAAAATCAAAGATACTACACGATAGAAAATTGATACCTGGTAAATTTCAATTGTTTCCCTTAGCACATAGCATTATAGGACTGACGAACACTATGGACACTCTTGTGTTGCACTTACACCTACATGTGAATCACTGAAAGAGAGAGAGAGAGACCCAAAAACTCTCACAAAATGATGAATATCCAAAAATATTAATGGACTTACACGTACATGTGAATCACAGAACGATAGTGAGAGAGACTCAAAAACTCTCTCAAAATAACGAATATCCAAAAACATTAATGGACTTCGTCTGTTGAGCAATGGAAAATAAACCAAAGGAGAAGCAAAAGAATTCCAAAAAAAATTAAAAAAATAAAAAAATTGAGTAAGCATTAAGAAGAATGACATAATAATGTCATATTCTACCAACAATTGACACCATTAACTTCATGCAAAAATTCAAGTTCAACCAAAAATCCATAAAAAAAAATGCAAAAATCAACATGGCAAAAAAATATATTGTGCTCATAAATGGATCTAAAATCTGGTGCAAACTTAATTTTAAAGAAGCAACAAAACTTGACTCCTAAAGCAACTCAAGAAACCTAAAACCCCTTGTAAGACAGAATAAAGAAAAAGAAAAGTTAAACAAAAATGTCACCAAGTAAAACGAAATATAAAGCCTAACTTTCAGTGCAATGTACCAACTTAGAGACAGAGAAGGCATTCATCTAAACAATGCACGTCAAATACAAAAGAGAACGATACTAAAATTATCCAAAAAAGAGAAATTTACAGAGAAATTAGCACCTTGAGATCAGATTTGAGTTAGTTTACAGAGAAATTAGAACCTTGAGATCAGATCTGAGTTAGTTTCATGGAAAATAGCTCAGCCCTCTCATGTCGCCTGTGGATGCCGTCATTACTACTTCCTTCTAAGATAAGGTCAAACCGAAGAAATAATTGATTAGGGTTTTTTTTGCATCTCTTTCATTTTTCTCTCTCTACTTTTGTCTCTTTCTCTCTCTTTAACTGAATGTTGGATTGGATCCGTGTGACGTACCTCACTTCATATGCGCATTTGTCCTCCAAGGTCCACGTGAGAGTTTCTCCACCCAAATCACCACACGTGAGAGTCTCCTTCGCTCAAATCTGTCACGTGTTGTGTTGTGAGGTACGTTACCCCTCTGCCCAACTCACCGACTCACTACTAATGACGTCATAATCGTCGGTTCATGGCGTAGTTATTTGTAGAATCGCCGCCGGCCAAATTAAATTATTTTACTAAAATCGACACGGGATGATCGATTCTCGCGTGGACTCTAACGAGTCCTTTGCGACTCTCAGATCAAAGCCAAAAGATTTTATGCTTTATAGAAATACACTATTTATTTACTCCTTCCACTAAATTCAATACAGGAATAATTTTAGGAACTCAAATTTTGGGTTCAACCCATAGACTAATTTCAAATAAATAAATAAATAATTCCGAAATAAACTCTCAATGTGCTAGAAAAAATATTGTGTCAAAATTGAACAAGACGATCCTAATTTGAAGGGCAAGATCTAAGTATAAAAAAACTTTAAATTCATTCTCACTAATACTTCCAAAAAAAATTCACTCTTTCCAAAAATGGACTGGGCTATAACCCCCACTGATTTTTTTAAAAAAAAAAAAGAAAAATCTCCCAACTAGGTGTTTGAATGAGAGAGTAGACATTGCTCTGGTCCCGTGGTGCTTGTGGGAGAGCACCACTTTGGTTCTGATGTCCCAATGTGCGCTAGCTACCGCGAAAGCCCCGTTGCGTTAGCTCACATCCATTTTCGGAGTGCGCTAGCCCCTGTATACGTTGCCGGGTACATGCTCCCGCGGGAACAAAGTATACGTGCTCGTAACCAAATTGAAAAATGAGCCGTTTATGGACTGCTCGACTTGAAGGTTCTTTTTCACTTCATTAGAGAAAGAAACCCTCTCTCCCTCTCCCTCTCCCTCCGCGTGCCTTCCCGCCTTGTTTTCTCCAATCCGAGGGAGAGAGAGAGATGAGGGTTTTTAATGGAGATTGAGTCACAAAATTACAGTGACATGGACTGAGACAAGAGCGCAGAGAGACATGGACTGAGACATGATCGCAGAGAAGAAAGATATGGCGAGAGAGAAATGCAGGGTGTGGTGGCCAAGAAGCCTTTCATGCAAAAAACCCAAGTCAATGTTATTGTTTGGATGGTTCATTCCTTCCCCCTTTTCCAATTCCCTCGACATTGTGGTCGCAACCGGAGTTCCTCCCCACTCATTTTCTCTCTCTAAATCTTACTTCCAGGTAATTAATCACACCCAATTTTTGGATCCTCTCTCTCTAAAAAGTTCCATGTTTTTTTATCTTTAAATGTGTAGTAGCTGATAGCAAAAAATCACGGATTTTGAGTGAATAATCACATGAATGGCTAGGGCATCAAACCCACATTGGTGTTATTTATAGGGCAGGGGATTGTATTTTCTAGTGTTTCTCTTCATATTTTAATTTTTTCATAGAATTAAAAATATTCCTACTTTCCATGTTTGCTATTGATCGTTTGGTAAAGGAAAATGATTCTATTTTGAGCTTTTACTCTCTCTCTCTCACCCCCCCCCCCCCCCCCCCCCTCTGCCCCCTTTTTTTCTTCTGTATCTCATATAGACCCTTTACGTAGATTGTTACTCAAACAGCCTGGAATTCTAGGATTCTCGAATGGCGTGGAATTGCGGCTTTTAGTTTCATAATATTAGCGTCTTTATCTGTGGAATCCAGAGTCCATTAAATGGCTTGAATCCAGAGTCCATCGAATGGATTGACGTATAAGCAGGGTTAGCCCTATGGAACTCAGTGCTTGTGTTAGGTTAGGGTGTATTGGTCCTTTTTCTATTGACTGTGTATGTGATTTTCAAGTTAAAAGCTCAAATGGACCCAATTGATGAATTCTAATGAAACTCATTGAGAGAGAAATGCATGCAAAGTAGCAGTGAATCAATTCTATTGCTAAAACGCAAAAGGATTTTAAGCAAAGTGCATTGAGTGTTACCTTTATTTTGGAGAAGTAATTGACATCTCAATTCGGCACTGATATGAGGAAGGTGTCCTTTCTTTCTTGGAATTCAAATCATGAGAGAATCCAACATGAAGATCATCTTTTGTGAGAATAGTACTTCTTTAACGCCTTGAAAGACCATAATATGAGTAAGTGTACTGCAATGAAAACAAAAGATCACAAGAACTTTACATTCCTTATGACAAACCGCTATTTTGTTGCCTGTTGTTTTAAGCTCTGCTTTCTAACTATGATATAGTTGGATATTTCCTATCTCTCTGCTAGGATGTTCAACTTGATATCGTTATATATCCTAGTGCTATATTTTGGCAAATGAATTACTGCTTATGCTAATTGTGAAAGACACTCAGTGTTTAATTATAGAAAGGGAGTGGTGCGCATTGGTCATTCACTTAAGCATTTATTGTATTGACCTGCACTTCTTCATAAAATCTTTAGGGCATTTTATTTCTGAGGGACATATCCAGTTAGCAAAGCCACTATAATGCACATTGCTCATGTCTGACAAAAACATAAATTGTGTGCATGGTTCTCATCCATGTTAAAAAAATCAGAGTCGTCCAATATAAACCAAGATGGGTTGAAAATAGAATTCTGACTTCTCAGCAACTTATCAGTAATTTTTTCTCTATTTTTGGTATGCGTAATTTCCTCTGCAATCCTCAGTTATACATACCTATAGTGCACAAAAATCATGTATAAATCATTTAATTTACTATGAAACATTTTAATGCCTTTTATTTTCAGAGTTTTTCTATTTTTTAGGTTGTTTCACATGGAAAAGTATATAAAATGAAAAGCTCACTGACTTTTTTCTTGACCTTGAGTTCTTTAACCTCGGATCTGATTGCCTTCAATTCTTTCTTTAGGGGGCTCTTGATTCTACAAATCGCGAAATGCCTTTATGCCTTCAGGATCACTTTGTATTTTCCACCCTTGGCCATTTTATGGCAGATAATGAGTTGCGCAACAACATGGTGCTCAAAAATATGAATGGGAATCCAAAGAATGAAGGGTTTTATTCACAAACCAACAAAAGAGTATCGAGGAAATCAGGGTTATCAATTGAATGCAACATGCCTTGGAACTGTGGTTGCCAGATACTAGATACATCCTTGGAACCATACAGGCAATCTTCAATCACAACTGGTAATTGGATCCAGCTATTTTATGACTCCAAAGGAGTCGCTTGTAATGGGATCCAATGGGTTCCTAAGTTGCATCACATGCATAAGAATGGGATCTTGTCTGTCTCTGATGTTCATGTATGTAAGTGTCAAATATTTTGGTACTTGCTTTATTTACGGATGTCATTCATTAAAATAATTGTCCTTGACTTTGTTGTTATAGGTAATTATTTATGAGCAACCTGTTTGTGGTCTCCATCATTTTTCATTGAACTCTTGGGCTTCCTCCTATGAGCATCTGTGTGCTTCTCCGAGTGGTCAGATTTCCCATAAAAAGCCTCGGTGGATTGATGAACTTGATCAAAAGCAACCATTCTGTAACTTGGTGAGATTTGTTATATTTTATTTTCATTTATTTTAGCTTTTTAAAGTTTGGGGTTAGTGTGTTATGAACCTTGGTACTTAATTTGTGGATTTAAAATCCCCCAGGTGTGGCTGCTTTAAATTGATCTTTTTTGAGAGAAAGGAAATGAATAAATATTAGTTTTTGATAGTTCCAAGTCAATATAATACTTCTTCAGAAAATGTGGGATTCTTTGAGTGAACGTTGTGTCAATGGTACAATGAGGGTGATAGGTGTTTTACGGGGCTTTGCTTACATTTTGTTTCTTGATTACAGAATACTGTTATTGCGGCGCTCAATTGTTCACATGCTGCAAAAACAATCTTTTGGAGAAATGTGATTCCCCAAACTAGATCAGTGCATGTCATTGCCGTCTCCATGTATGTCTTTGTATCTTTTAAATTTTGTGGCCTCTTCTTTATCTAGGAAATCAGGTTCATGCTGTAAACTCTACTATTACTTTTTACTTTGCAGGATGGTTGCTTCTATATGGCAAATAGTAGCCATGACTATAGCATCGGCTTCTACCTTATATTACGTCCTTCTTCAGTGTAGTAATAGGTTTCTTAACCATTGCTTTCCATCTCTTCTTCATTGGATGCTCAATATGCTACTTGATCATACGTGGAAAATTGTTCATATTCGTAGTTGTCAGCTTCTTTATTGGCCCATTGTTCTTCTTGGCAGTTCTTTCAGGTATACTGTTAATCCCTTGGGCCTTTTAGTTCTATATTTTCATTATGTTTCATTCCCTTATGGAATAAGGGACCCTGAGAAACCATGGTTACTATCCTATCCAGTGTTTTAAAGATCAGATCGATTGGGTGAATCATCCACCCAACGTCCTGATTCGGATCGGAGATCCGGCCAAAGACAGAAAGAAAGAGACACAGAGAAAAAACAAAAACATTGAATAGAATATACAATATACATCATTTATAATACTATTCTAGTAATTCCTTTGTGGCTAGGATGTTAGGTCCTCTCCCAAAAGGAATGAGGTTCAATTCTCCCTCTAGACATCCTTTTTTTTTTGTAATAAAGGTTGAGCTAAGTTGAAAAAAAACAATTTGGAGCTATTTTAGAAACAAAGAGGGCGCTCTGACTATCCTTTAATACCCATGTGGGCTAGCCAACTAGGTCAGCCAACTTTGACGATATAAGAAATATATAATGACATTGAAAATCTGATTCCAACCAAGAACTGGTGCAGTCATCGGCAATTCCAGATCCGGATTCAATTCTGTTCCAGGTCGGTGACTTTTACAAGACTGGTCCTAGCAAATTATTGGAAGGGGCAGAAACCTCAAAACAGGACTTTATCCTAATTTTGCATCCCACTTTTCCCTGCCATATTAATTGGACTATGATGAACATGATCATAGTTGATTGTGTCACATACATCCTTTTCTTTGTGATGATATTTTCAATAGTTTTTCTGTTTAGTGTATGAGGTTCCTTGTTTACTGCCTGTCGTTTTGCAAACTGATTTGGTAAATTTGCAGGGCTCAATCATGTGTAGAATATGTGCACCGAGCTTCATTGATCAGGCATTCTGTTTGGTCAAGCATCATTGTTGATGTTCTACTTGGAAATGTTGTTGGTTTCATTCTTCTAGGTCATGTTGAGGAAATCTGCTTCTGGGTTTCCCATCTTGTTCGAGATATTACAAATGGTTTGCTACGCTCGGGTTGTGTGTGGTTGATGGGTGTTCCAGCTGGTTTTAAATTAAATACCGAGCTTGCAGAAGTGATTGGCATGATTGCTCTAAATGCCATACAAATCTGGTCAACTCTCTGGTTTTTTATGAATTCATTCTTTGCGTACTTTGTTAAAGTGCTTGCCATTTCTGGGATTCTTTTTGGGGTTACAGTTCCTGCTTCATTATGCATTGACTTGCTGTCACTGTCAACATTGCATATATGGGCTCTTCATTGGTTAATTTCGCTCATATATTCTCTACAAATCCAGGCTTTAGCATCTGTATGGCGCCTGTTCAGGTATGCGTTTTTGAGGCTTCGGTCTCTATAGCTATGGACAAGTGAGAGTTGAATTTCTTCAGGTTGTTGATTTTCCTTGAAACTTGCAAGTTTGGTGTTTGGGAATAACTGTGTTACAAACTTACAATGAACTTCTTTCTTGCGACATGGAGGTAGTGTAAACATCCGAAAATCTTGTTGACCAAGATGTCATGCCTCAGGAATTTTATACCCCTCCTGAATTTCAGATGCGTGCAGCCCAACATATAATTAAACCAAATGGATTCTGGAAACAATTGTAGTTTATTTTTTGATTACCATTGAATGAAATTATAGGTGGTGGTCTAGAGTATCCACCTCTGGTGCATATCTCATTTTACTGGGTCCCGCTGCCACGCCACCACGTCATTTCAATCGATGGCAATGACTCAAAGACGTCGGATTAGTATACTCAACCTTGTCCTAATTTGGTCACTTTGTCGTGACTTCTCTACATAAAATTAGGGAAGATAGGAAGAGAAAACCTTTAAAAGGAAACCTCTAGTTGTTTAGCTGTATTTAAACTTGGGGAAAGTTTCTATATGGCCTGCTTAGCCTGCCTGGTACCCCACATTAAATGACACTATAGGTGGGTGAGACACCCAAACAATTCCAAATCACCTCCAAATAATAATCCTGCAATTAATATTTGATTTGGAGTTCCAGAAGGACTCTAAATCCCTTACACATTCACCTTCCACTCAAATGGAGGGTGCAGATGTGAATTGGAGTTGGCAATATATTTGCAGCATTTTTGGAGTTCCAAGTCAATTCTCTTTTGAAGACAGTTTTTTAAGTGGCTTCTTATGATTCGATTTGGAGCTACCGCTCCGATCCACTGTCCATTCAAATAGACAGCCCAGATTTGATTTGCCTGTAGCAATCACTTTCGGGCATTCATGGAACTTCAGATCAATATTTTTAGACCATTGATTTTAGGGATAAGGAAACTGATATAGATTTTTTTTGGGCCTCTCATCTACATCAAAACTGGTTTGAAGTAGAGTGACATAATAATATAATGTTGACACGGAGAAATATTATGTTTTAGACCTTATAATTGAACATACATCTAAAAGAGTCGCTTTTTTTTCTGAACAAGCAGAGGCAGGAAGTGGAACCCTCTTCGGCAAAGACTAGACAGTTACAACTACAGCGTGGAACAACATGTTGTTGGATCCCTTCTCTTTACTCCCCTCTTGCTTCTCCTGCCCACCACCTCAGTATTCTATATCTTCTTCACCATTTTGTACAGGACAGTCAGTTCCATTCATTTTCTCATGGAGTTAGCCATTTCATTTCTACATGCTGCCCCTTATGCTGAAATATTTCTATGGGTTGTATGGCCAAGAATGTTTCCCTCAGGAATATGGTTCAAAATTCTCTCTGAGCATTCTGAATCATGCAGGCAATCTCCCAAAGGGAATGGTCGAAATGATTTTATTGAAAGTTCTCAAGACTTAGGAATATCAAGAAGAATGACAACGGTAGTCTCAATTCTTGGGAGCAATTCTGCGACCATTGGTACATTTTACTGATATCTCCCTAAATTTTCCTTTTTATACTATAGTTTGAGCTATTCCTTTGAACTCTACTGATTTCTCATATTATCTCTTTGTGGAAGAACTTGAAGGAATTTGTTTTAATTGACAATGGATGGCTAAGAAGTTTAGTAACATTTTTGCTAATGATGAAAGGTGTAAATTGTAGGTCAAGTTCTCCATCCTCATTCGAGAAAGGTCTTCAGTGGGGTTTCTATGTCTTCTGTTGTTTCATCTGCCTATGGAGTTTTCAGCGGTAGAAGGTGATTTCACATTCCCGTTTGATAGTTGGGTATCTTTTAATTGTATAATCTTGGTGTCTCTTTCTCTCTCATATGTTGTCATTCCTCTTTACAGAATACCTTCTGCTTTGCACGCCAAGTTGCCTTTGACCCTTCCATGGATGTCAATCGGCATAAGAGAATTCTGGTGGCTTTGTTGCGACTCTATACGCACTAGAATGCGAAAATTTTAACCCCTTTTGTAGTTTTTTCCTCATAATCCTATTCATTTTTTCATGTGCCTTATGTCATTTACTATTTTGCACATTGGTTTCACGATTTTTTTTTGTTTTGAGTAAGAAATATCAGGATGTCACACTCTTTTTGCTGAGCTGATTACATCTTAAGATGCATTAGTGGGTGGAGTGTTTATCAAGCATTCATCCTCTTTTACAGGATGATGCAAGTTTGTTATCTAAATTTGTGCTTAAATTTCTCAGCAATGATACATTTTCATTTACACTTATGAAACCCAAGGGCATCCCCTCTCAATTAACCCCTGCTCAAAATATGTTTTGAACATGTTGACATATTTCTAGTAGAAATCTCTCTCACACACACACACACAAAAATTAGTCTAATAAACTTTTTTTGTATAGTTAGTTTAGTTCATTCTGCATTATATTTATAGTATAACGCATCTTTCTCTTGGTAACTTTTAGTTTGCCTTTATATTTAGGGAAAGGTTTCTATGCTTCCTGTACGGCATAGAAGTTCTATCCTCCCTTACCATCTAGCCGTTCAATTTTGATCAAGAGACCCACTCACCGTTTGATCTTAGATCCGACATCTCAAAGTATTTTATTTTTTGCTTTTTTTATACAAATTGTATGAATATGAAATTTAGTATGTGCTATCTTCTCATTGAGGCGCACCTATAAAAAATATTAAAAATAATTTTTCGATAACCCCTTAAATCTTTCAGGGGTATTTTGGTCATTCTTTGTGATATCCTTAAAATATATTTTCATATCTAGGTATAAAGTTTAATGTTGCAAAGATAGTGTAGATCGAGCAGATCAATTGAAACTTAGAAGTCTTGAAAATTGATGGTCCAAAAATGTATACATTAGTTCCAAAACTTGAAATCTTTTTTTTTCTCATGTTCATGTATCTTGATGTCGAGATGATCAATTTGAAGATATTTGGGCATCAAAACAACATTTTCTAATGAAAATTTTGAGGTAGGCTTTGATTGTTTAGAGCCTAAGCTCTACATAAACTTTTCCTTAAAAATATAACATTTTTTTGCGAAAATTTCTAAAACCCCTTATAATGTACTCTATGGACACTCTACCCCCACCCTCATATTTTTCTCACTTTTTTTTATAAAAAACCAACTTTTATAACTGGAACCCCCCAAACCTAAAAAAACATAAAATGTATGATAAAATTACCCCTCGTTTTTAATTTACTTTTTATCTTCTTTTTTTTTTGACCTTTACCCTACGCCCCTACGTTTTTTACCTTCGCTCCATTCATTTTCCTACCTTCACGAAATTTCCCATTTCCTTTTCCTTCAATAGCGTATTTCTCCTTTTTCTCTCCACCATTTTCCCTTACGCCTTTTTCCATTCTTTCTCTTTCGTCACGGTATTCTCATTTTGTATTCCACGATTTTTCCTCATTTCATTTCTCACTCTTTAAATGTGAGTTCTTGTCTACCACTTTTTCTACAAGGTCCACTATCTCTCTCTCTTGACCTATTTTTTTGCTCTCCCTCTCTCTACTTTTAGCCCTATTTTCTCTCTCTATTTAAGCCAAAACTCTACTTCTTTCTCAATCTCTCTTTTTACGAAGGCCCCACTCTCTCACAAAGCATCACGTTTTTTTTTCTCTCTACAATCAAAGGTCATACAACTTTGTCAAAGGTCGTACAACTTTGTCACAATCTCTATGAAGGTTTTTCTCACCCCCACGAAGGTCCCACAACTCTCTATGAAGGTCCCACAGAGCACTGATCCCATCACAGGTCAAGCTCGATTTTTTAGGACCAAGTATGAAAGAATAGATCAATTAAATCTTTAAAACATTTTTATAATGCTATTTATGTTGTAACTTCAACTTTGTCGTTAAGGCTTGGCATGGAAACCTTTTACTTAATCATATGAAGTAAAAATGTAAATCAAAAGCTTGTTAATTGTCTTTAAATTTAGGGAAAATTAAATTTATGTTGTTTTTTATCAAAAGGTGGATGAAAACGTATCCTTGAAATTTGTTGTTGGGTTTTTATTTAGCTACATTGGCTGTATTTAATTTGTCATCGACAAATGAAAGAATGGATAGGTGATTCAAAAGATGTATTGATTTTTCTTATTCTTAATTTGTTATAATAAATGGTAGACAAAACTCAGGTGTATGAAGTAAAAGAATGGATAGGTAATTTGTTTTTTGCTCTGAATTTTGTCTGTCATTTATCATTGTGCACTTTTTGTATTTTTGCTGGGGTAAGTCGCTTGGAACTTGAATTCAATTATTTGATTTCGGGTTTCAAGATGTAGTATTTGATTATTGCTACTTACCTCACAAAAATGGTTGGTTTTCTGTCTAATTTTATCCAAACCAAATTGGTCACTATACAATTTCCTGTTTTCTGATTTTATCAAAGGTATAGTGGAATTTTTAGTAATTTTGGTGTTTGTTTTTTCAATTTCTAATGTGGCTTTAGCCATCATTAAAAAAACTAATGGAAAAAATATTGTTTATATTCACTAATTCTCGTGGAGTTAAATGAGTGTTATTTCCTTTGTAATTTTTTGGGATGACTAGCTGTCTAAATGAAGATAACTAATGGTTTTCAATTAAGATTCGGAGAGCTTCTGGTTCATTACCATCTTAGATCACTCGCTCTCTTCCAATTTATGAAATTAAGTGCCCTATTGCTGACAATCAATGTTGCCCTTGATATCTTATTATCTTGTTATACTTTGTAATGTTTACCATAATAGCATGCTTCACTGCACAAAACGTGTCAGATCCCCAACTTTCCATCATTTAGGGAAACCCAGCCTACCCAATAGCCTTGCTCTTTGGTTGGCTACTCTATGTAGACCAATCCCTCTAAGTGACATTCTCTATAATAGCTAGATTCAGTTCCCCAACATCTATTCATTGTATAATTTCTTAGGAAATCTCTTAAGGAAATTTGCAAAGCTCTTGGTAAAATATAATTTGTTATTAAAAAACAATAAGCATATGGCAAGTTCAAGGCTAATATTTAATATGTTGTATATGTAAGTTACTACAAATATTGTGCAGGACAGAAACAAATGGATGATTGCAAATTAATTTATTGTATTTTCGGTGGAGAACTCCGAACAAGTGTCGATGGGACTTTAGATGGTGGAGATGAGTGGATATGAGGAAAGTAAAACCGAGGAGGAAGATGGTGGAGATGAGGAAAGAGAGACTAAGGATGCAAATGGTAAAGATGAGGAAAGAGAGAGCGACAGTGATGAGGAAAATGAGAGGAGAACAAAGAGCAAAAATGACAAGGGCAAGGGTATTGCAAGTTGGCCCAAAAAATGGTTGAGGCCAAGAAAGTGAATATCATATATTTTTCATTTTGACATGTACTTTTTTTATGATATCTAAAAATGTAAATTAAAAAGGTTATGAACATTTTTTTGAGACATATGTTAATTTTTTTTCTTTTTTTGAGACATATGTTAAATTTATTTTTGTACAATTGAAGCTACTCTATTATTGTAGCAAGTTAATGAAATGTTCATTCTTTTTGATGTCGTTATGTTAATAGAAGAAAAATCTAATATCAGAATTCTTTTAAATGAAATATGCAAATAGCTCAATGTATTGTTTATCAATGTAGTTCCTGTTTTGAAACTTGGCCAAGCATACGCCATGAGGTTGAAAAGATTGAGAAAATATGGTGGTTGATAAATTTAAGATGATGGAAACTATGGTGGTTGATAATCAACAATTTGATATTCATTTGATGGTTGATAATCATTCATTGTCTCAATAATTAATCGCAGTAATTTGATCAACAAAAAGATGTTGGACCATAGATTTGCTAATAAAGATGATCATCCATTGCCCAACGCAAAGAGTTTGGACCACCATTCATAGCAAGCTAGCACTTATAAAATGCACTTTGGCACTTCCTGAAGGCACTCCAGCACTTCCTGAAGGCACTCCGGTACTTGAATAGCACGCACCGACACTCCATGAAAAGCGTTTCGGCAATTCATGCATAGCGGTCCGGAGATTTGGTTCCTAGACTTATGGGCACTCCGACACACGGACCATGGCAATCCAGCGATTTGGTTCCTGGAATTATCAGCACTTTGACACACGCACCATGGCAATCCGGCGATTTGGTTCCTGGACTTATGGGCACTCCGGCACACGCACCATGGCAATCTGGCGATTTGGTTCCTGGACTCATGGCACTCTGACAGAGTCACGCGTCAGTTCGAAAGTTTGTCGGCACTCCGGCACTGTCACCGCAGGGGTCCGGCGATTTGCTTCCTAGGCTTATGGGCACTCTGGCACACTGACCATTGCAATCTGGCGATTTGCTTCCTAGTTTCATGGTACCGCGGCACATTCATGCGGCAGTCCGGCAATCTCGTTATTGGCTTCACCGGCACTCCAGCACTGTAACCGCAGCAGTCCTGCAGTTCATTTCCTAGAGTCATGACACTCCGGCAGAGTCATGAGGTAGTCCGGCAAAGCGTGGGCACTTCGGCATAGACGCCGTAGGGGTTCAACGATTGGCTTCCTGGATTCATGGCACACCTGATATTTTTCCTGGATTCATCTCCCCTTCGGCATTCTAACCGTGGCAATCTGGCGATTTGGTGGATGGATTCATGGCCGTCCGACAAAGTCACGGGGAAGTCCGGCAATGCTTGGGCATTCCGGCACAAGCACCAATGGAGTCCGGCGATTATCTTACTAGATTCATGGCGCCCAGGCACAATCACATAGTAGTCCGACGATGTTCATTCTGGCATAGGTTAGTCTGGGTTTAGTTATGAGCAGTCCGACGATGTCATCGAATAGTCCGCCTTTTATGTATTGTTCTCTGACGATTATTTACCGAGATTATCAGTACGGTTTTTTATAGCATCAATCAGGTGGTTTTCTCAATCATTCCGACGTTGTAGAGCTTCGGTCCGGTGGTTTGCTAACTTGAGTAGGAAGTCCGGCAATTCGTTGTCTGGGTCTGGCATTTTGTAATCTATGGTCCGGCGTTAGTTATCTACGGTCCGACGTATCATTGTCTAAATAAGCAATCAGGTATTACAGTAAATCAGACCGGCATATGTGATGAGTTTAGCAAATAAGTACCGCGATCCAACGAATGTATTATTGGGGTCCATCGTTCATACGGTGACGGTACAAGAAGGGGTAGTTTTGTCAAAAAATTACAACTTTTTTAATAAGGGAGGTTTTAGTTATAAAAGTTGGTTTCTTATAAAACAAAGTGAAAAAAGTTTGGGGTTAGGGTTAAGTGTCTAGAGAGTACATTCTATAGAGTTTTTAGCAATTTTTTCTTCTTTTATTTATGAAAATGATTGCACTGACTTGTCTAGCCTTAGCATTTTAAAGTGAAGTACCAAACAACCGCCACACTCATAGTCGCCGATGTAACAGTGGTTCTACCCCCTTACATTCGGACTAGGAGCTTGAAACTTTTTCTTCATTGAAAATTCTGGTTCCAAGTTCCCAAGGGTAAAGTTGGAAGGGTACGATCATCATTTCTCTTTGCATTTTTTGCACTGCAACGGATTATAGAGTGAGTAACAAACCTTTTGCGCCACTCTAAATCTAATAAAACCGTAATGCCTTTTGGTGCTTCCTTCTAGGTTAGGAAGTGCCAAACGCATTACATATCTAATAGATTCATAATGTTGTGTGCCAGCGGTTTATTTTGGTATAACACGAAAAATTGGAGAAAAATTAGCATAAAAGTTAAAGAAAAAAATAGGAAATCTTTAAACACTTTTGTAATTAATAATTATAAAAAATATTATAGATAATTTCTCTTATTTTTAATTTCAAATGGAAACGGCCGCTTTTGGTTCTCATTAAGAATGGCAATGTACCTAGACCCAACCTGGGTATACCCGATACGAGTCTAGGTATGGGTCCAACATTTGGACCCCGTGGGTCAGGTCCAGGTCTAGATCCAGTTGAATCCGACCCGTACCTGTAAACTGTTGAAGATAAAATACTTCAAACCCTATTATAATTTGTATATAATAGGTACTCAGAGTCATCTTAGCTATTAAACAATAAATTAGACGGCTCGAAATCTAATAACGGGTGATTGTAACCTTGTTGCCAATAATATGGGAATACAATAGTAAAAAAAAAAGTTAAAAAAAAAAAACTCACATTGAGGGTGGCAATGAACTCGACCAAAGACCGAGGGACCCAATAGGTACGAGTATGGGTCCAACTTTTAGACCCGACAAATCGGGTCCAAATCCAAAATTTAGATTCGAATACTATTTGGGTCTGGATCCAGGTCAAGCCAGACCCGACCCATACCTGACCCGTTACCATCCCTATTTATCATTCCATGCAAGCCCAAACCACCATCTATTAATGGGGCCGAGGGAGTGACTACACAATATGATCCAGCGCGACTACGCTATTCACAATATCAGATCACCCCTTCCCCACATTGGGATGTTAAAGAACCATCCGAGTCTAAATTACAAACCCTGGCCCTGATTTTGATCACCTAAACCCTGTAAGCCAGTGCTAGGGTTTCTTCTGCAACGATTCTTGTTTCTCCATCATCTTACCACTGTGAAAACCCTAATTTTGTATCTCTAAACCCTAATCTTGGCCTTTAGCCATTTTCGGCAATGGAGCCTTCTTCTTCCTCAAACTCAGCGAGAATGGCTCAACAAACATGGGAGCTCGAGAATAACATTGTGAACATGGAGTCTCCTGGCGCCAATGACTCTGATTCTATCTATTTCTATGACGACGCGGCTCTGACCAAGATTCAGCAAGAGAAGCCATGGCAATCCGATCCCCATTACTTTAAGAAAGTGAAGATTTCAGCGCTAGCTCTGCTGAAAATGGTGGTCCATGCCCGATCTGGAGGGACGATTGAAGTCATGGGGTTGATGCAAGGGAAGATTGAGGGTGATACGATTATTGTTATGGATGCCTTTGCTCTCCCAGTTGAGGGGACTGAAACTAGGGTTAATGCTCAGGCGGATGCTTATGAGTACATGGTCGAGTATTCTCAGACAAACAAGCAGGTGATTCTATTTGAGTAAATTTCAAGCTTTTGAGTTTTTATTTTTATTTTTTATAGTATTTTATTTGGTATTTTGTGTTATGACACTGTGAGATATACGTTATTGTATGCTTCAATGTTTGATTATATGAATTATGTTTTGTTGCTGTGAAGATTAGGATTTGGGGTTTCTCGATATGGCATTAAATTATTCACACAATAATCATAATGGTGAACCAAACCACTTATTGTGAAAGTTGGTAATTAATTGAAAACGTGTTAGAACTGGAAATTGCTCAATACAGTGTTGAATGTCTTCAATAATCATAATAGAAATGAATCCATGAATGTGAAAATAGTAGTTCAGTTGCAAATGTATCAGATGTGGAAATTACTTGATATGGTGTTAAATTTATTGTGATGGTAACCACGTTGTTGAACGATTCATTGAATGTGAAACTAGGAATTTAGTAAATTGATAATTTGTGTTGATTTTTAACAATAAATTTACTGTTACATTGACATCAGAATGCATGGAAAACTAGACTGTTAATTGAAATCCGAGAATCACATGTTGCAATTTGTCAAGTCCATTGTGTGCGTTTATTAGTTATATTGATTATTAAATTGTCAATTGATAAGTGGGCTTAAGAGTTTTAGATTCTCTAGTACTATAAGCAATACTAACTGCAGAAAAGATAGGTGACTGAGATTCGTATAAACGAAAGGAATGGATAATAATTTAGATTACTGGTGATTTTTTTCTATACTATAGGATGAGTCTTTGAACAGGCTAACATGTAAGTAGGACAATTTACCTCATGATTTTTTCTTGAATTTATTGAAGGTTGATTGATGCCATTTACTCGTTCATTTTGAGTATCATTTGCGTTCAATATATTGACTATCACAGTTGTACATAACAATACCATGGGGAAATTTACGATCCTCATATTTGGTTTAAAGAACTCCCTAAATGTTTGAGAAACTAATAAATCTTCCATGATTGTGTACAAACTGTTTGTTGTAGGTGTGAATGTCTATTAACTTCAAAATACCTAAGCATAGATATTTGAAGACAAAACATTTGTATTGTGTTACAATTGTCTATATTTTACAGATTGAAGATCTTACCCATAACTTTGCGACTTCCGTATTGTTGACATGTTAAGTTTTATCTATTGGCCTATAGTGAATGAAATTGGAATTTTCAATGTGTAAGATGTTTTTTGCATGCAATAACTCAAGTAGGCGTCTGTGCCCTATAAAAGTGACACAGATTTCTTTATGGTCGTCTTTTTTTGGGGTTCGAAGGCCACACTTATCGCTGTAGGACGAGAACAATAACATTTGGTTTCCTTGGGGATTCCAATTTGTACAGGCTGGACGTTTGGAGAATGCAGTTGGATGGTACCACTCACATCCAGGTTATGGATGCTGGCTTTCTGGCATTGATGTGTCAACTCAGCTGACAAACCAGCAATTTCAAGAACCATTTTTGGCAGTTGTTATAGATCCAACAAGGACTGTTTCTGCTGGAAAGGTTGAGATTGGTGCTTTTCGCACATATCCTGAAGGATACAAACCCCGTGATGAGCCTGTCTCAGAGTATCAAACTATACCTCTCAATAAGATTGAAGATTTTGGTGTTCACTGCAAACAGGTATGTTAATTATCATTCTGTTTGTTGATTGGTACATTTCTTCATAAAGTGAGTATTTTTAGTACTTCATTGATGTATGCTGCTCTTTAAAATTTTGCAGTGTTAGTTATTAGAGATAACTGAAAGTTTGTCCAAAGATCGATGGAATTTCTTGATAGGCATGTACCATCATCAATTCTTAATCTTGATAAATATTTTATTGATTTCTGCAGTATTATGCATTGGATATCACCTACTTCAAGTCCTCACTCGATTCCCACCTTTTGGATCTTCTATGGAACAAGTATTGGGTGAATACCCTATCGTCTTCACCCCTTCTGGCAAATAGAGATTATGTTGCTGGCCAAATTTCAGATCTTGGTGTGTTATATTTTTCTTTATTGTATCACACTATTTATTTGTTTGTTGTGTTTAATGCTTTGAGAAATTTTCTTGTAGTCTTGAGATTTACAAGTTATGCCATTCTTTTGCACTATTTTTATTTTATTTTTGAATAGTATTTCAAAAAGTTTTGTATATTGTTAGATCCAATCATCAAGTAACGAATATGGATAATTGTTGAAATTTCATGGGATGTTTGTTGCATCTTAGTTAAGGTGGAAGCATTAGAGTAGATAGTAAATTGGGTTCAATCCATTATGTTAAAGGCTACACTTGGAAGTTGGTCTACTTACACATTTGTGTTCCAATTAATTTCACTCTAGAACCTTCAGTTGTTTTAGTTCCACAGGATAATTTTGGTGTATCCGTAGCGCTCTTATGGAGTATTCCATTTAATAATGAATGCAGTATTGGCAGTTTCTTCCTATTGAACTCATCCCTCAAATTAAACTTTACCAGATCTATTGGGAGTGGAACTATGGTTTTCATTTTTTTTAATTTATTTTGAACCATTGGGGGTTATTAATATTGCTGTGTTTGATGCATTGTCAATTAGAGCTCCAAGACAGAAGTATGGAAATGTTTATTTGTGAGTTTTTCACTTTTCAGTTTCATGCCAGTTCGACCAAATCCATCCCCCCGAAATATGGTCTCTATATGCTTGTGAAAACTCAGTTTTTCTGATCAGAAAAACTATATAAATAATTTTGTTTGTTCTTTCAATATTATTGTTACACTGATATTTACCATATGGTATTTAGGCATTGCCATAAGTTACCATTAACGAAGTCATTTAACTTAATTTTAAAAACTAATGACACTACTTCAGATTAACAGGACATCTTCTCTTTTTTACAGCGGAAAAGCTAGAACAAGCCGAGAATCACCTTTCCCATTCACGCATGGGTTCTTTCCTTGTGCCTCCACTACGAAAGAAAGAGGTTAGTCAGCCCATGTAATTCTGTTTCAAGGACGGGTGCCCTTTTCAATTTGATGCAAGACCTTTGATATCACTTCACATAAAGAGATTAGATCCACTGGATTTCTTAGAAACATGTGATTAATGGATTTATCTTTTAAAATCTCTGATGAACATGTGTAAATAATGTTTGGGCAATTTATCAAACTACCCGTGAAAGGTAAACCATTTATCATTTTACACATTTGCAACTGTTGTTCCAACTTATAATCATTTGTCTTTTGATGGGCATTTTGAAATTAAAACACGCCATATGGGTAAAATGTTAGATGGTTAACCTCTCATAGGTATTTTGATAAATTTCCCTAATGTTTTTTCAATCATGAGCTATCTTATAGAAGTTTAAGAAATAATGTTTATCAAGCATCACAAAAATTTAATTTCTTGACTTACTGCTTCACTTTTAACAACTTCAGAGCTGTGGCATCGTATCACTCATGCACTATCAGGACCTGCAAAAAATTTTAAGATGCAGTGTTTTCCTTTCCTGTACAAGGGTGATTGTCTTCGTAGTTTGTCCGTATTTCACATTTCCTTTGTAATTTGTTGGTCTTGCAGGATGATTCTCAACTTGCAAAGATAACCCGTGACAGCTCGAAAATAACAGTCGAGCAGGTTCATGGGCTCATGTCACAGGTAACACACTTCTTGGATATCATTCTTATTTGAATTTTGGTTGTCAAATGTACTTGTTTGGTCTGTTCAGCTAAGCTTATACGATGTGTTTGTGTGGTTTCAAGGTTATCAAGGACACACTCTTCAATTCAGTTCATCAGGCTTCTAGGATGCTACCAATCCTGACTGATCTGTCGGATCCCGAGCCCATGGTTGAGACATGATGTCAGAGGAAAAGGAGTGACAAGGAGTATCATCCTGTACTCATGTTACATACTCTTTATGGCGTTCAACTTAGACTGTAGAGGGTTTTTGGGACCTGGTAGAGCTGAAATCCTTTTTCCTGGTTTCATTTTGGGGGGCGATGGAGCCCTAAGCGCTACTGTTTTTTTTGCAGTGCATTTTGAGCTTTGACAAAAAGTTATCTGAGAGTTGTCCGTCTTTGAGGGGTCTTATAATTATCTTTCATCGGCCAGCACTGTAATGAAAAAAGAACACCCTCTCTGTACTCTCTCTCTCTCGTGCATTAGACTGTTAATCTGTGTTATAGAAATTTGGAAACCAGTGGATGAACCTAGAAAAAGAATGAAGCTTGTAAGACAGCATCAATTGCAGTGGCTTGTGCTGGATTCTTGTAAGCCTACTATAGGAAAAAAATGTTAAAAAGTGATTCCTATTCTCATCCATTCAAGGAAAATGTTTAAACAAGGTGTACTTAGATTCTACATCATCTATCTGAGATTGGTATGGCATAGATTTTACGTTCTCTGACACAATGTAACATTCTTGAGCCTACAAGATTGCCGCCTCATATATACTACAAAAGCAAAAAAGTGGTACGGGGGAGGGGGGAAGAGAATTTCATATTCCAAAAGCGAAGAAGTGGGGAAGAGAGCTCAGGCTCATAAAACTGAATGTTCAAACGCAAAAACCAAGAACTGAAAATTTATTGTACAAGTTTCCCGATAACCGGTCCCTCGATCATCCCACAATACAACCCTTGAACAAGTCAGAAGGGAGTTGAATGACAAAATCCTGCTCTTCCACGTATTGCAGGAGCTCACTCGTACCAGAACCAAATAAAATCCAAAACAAACCTACATCTGACCCACCACTTCCTCCCCACAGCTAGTGTACAAATAATTAGTACAACAAATATGAGAGAACCATTTTCTAACCTCTCCATCTCTTAACCCCACCCCTCCGGTATCTTGATGGTGCCTTTTTTCCTCCTCTCACCCTTTTCCCAGCCTCAGATCCTGTGCGCTCTGTAAGATTTTGTTCTTGAGCCTGAGGTAACTCAGCCTCAACAGCAAGTTGAGAAGCGTTCCCAGCCCCAATTCCTGTGTGCTCTGTAAGATTTTGTAGTTGAGCCTGGGGTAACTCAACCCCAACAGCAAGTTGAGAAGCTTTGTCAGTTTTGGAAAGTAGTGAACTATTTTGATCATCAAGTGGGACTTCAAGAGTGGTCTCACTGGAAAGTTGGCAAACCTGGGCAGTGCTACTCAAAGGGGACACACCATCATTTGAAACAAGCAAAGGATCATGTCCCTCACGGGATAGTGATGGAGCAGAGGAACTGTTAATAAGAGGAAATTTGGGGCTACAATTAGATTTGACATGTGGATAAATACGAACGAGAGAGACAGATAGAGACAGAGGGGAGAAGGGGGAAAACAATTTATACCTTGAAGGAGAAGAGTTGAAGCCATTTGAAGCAGCAATATTCGTTTCTTTTAGTTGCTCCTTCCCGCTCTGGGTGACTGCCTCTGTAAAACAATTTTTGCATTGGAATGAAGAACAGGCATTAGTCATCATAAATGTAAAATGCATAGATTAAAAGGCGCATATGTCAAGATAGTTACCATCATGCTGCAATGAAGTGGAATTCTGTGTGATAGATTTGTCAAAGCTCGAGGCATATTTGAGTTCTTGTTCCTTGGTATGATGAGCCTTATCAGGGTCCTTAAAATGCATAACAAAAATAAAACCCATAATTCATTAGCCAATGGCTACATAACTAGAAGATTTGGAAGTAACTCTAATAAGCCTCACGTTAGCACTCAGTGGGCACTGGACAATAAACGGTGGAAAATACAAGGAAAGAGTATTGATGTCCAATCAGTCTTACCAATCACTTATATGGTATTTTCAAGTACTAGCATAGTAAAAAAAAGGTGAGCACCATCTGAACTTGATTCAGATCCATCACAAAATTCAAAAATTCAACATAGATGTTATCTAATATAATAGATTCAGCAGGAATTACGATGTGCACTTACTTCAGTTTCCATTTCAGGAATGGCAGAATCTTGATAGCCAACAGTTGTACACAGAGGCATATGACTTTCTCCCTCCATACGATGTTCAAGGTCTGAACAATTTTCAGCTGTATCCTGATCCATCTTCTGGTCATGAATAACATCCATTGAGTTAAAGTTTCCTTCAATTATATTCTCATTGGACAAGCCTACAACTGGACCTAGGTTACTATTATTCACAGCCAACTCATTGGCCTGGTCATTGGACTGAATGGTGGGCTTCTCAGCCTGCAATGATGCTGAATCATGACTTAAACCTGCTTCACCAACTTCCTTATCTGCTGTTGATGAGATAGCTTCTGATCCCAATGTTCTTGAAACAAGCTGATTAGCTGATGGTAGTGCTGCAATTTCTTTGGACTTAAGACGTACTCTTCGAATTTCATTAAGGGATGCATCAATAGCTAGAGAATACCTTTTAGATGCCTGCTGTGCGTGGATTAAATATACCCACAATTAGTGGAAATAAACAAATGAACTAATATATGTGAAAGCAGTAAGCAAAACATTAGTAGCAAAGCCATCGACAATCAGGTAACAACAACTCAATAACCTGCATATCCTAGAATATATATTAGAGTGTATAAAAAAAAGGATTGTCTACAAAGAGACCATTTATCCTTTTGTACATGGAGTTCACAATCATAATTGCCCCTTAAATTTCAAAATGGGTGATTGTAAGAGTGTCATTGAATAGACACAAAGTTCCCAAAAAAAATTCTCGGACTTCGTGACTCACCTCGAGCCATCCAATTTAACCTCTAATGAGTGGGACTGATTGTGACCTCCATGTACAAAAGATAAATGGTCTCTTTGTAGACAATCCTATAAAGAATTTATCAAAACATGGGATATTGCCTCTTCTTTTTGCAGTTGCTAGGGTTGGTGGCATATGGCCCTTTGGAATTCAGATAGAGGTCAGATGCTAAATAAAAACTTACCAAGAGTCTCCATACAAATCCTTAACACACGAGAAAAATAGTATCCTAACAATTTGAATATCATTTGTAATATAAACTTCATAGCATAATGACTTCAGAACAACACGGCAAAGCTACTACCCCGCCCCCATCCCCCCAAAAAGAAAAGAAAAAAAGAAAGCACACGCACACACACACACACAAAAACCGAGAGATATGTCACAACAAACAATTGAATGGTTCGGCTACTTTAAAGGAAATCCTGATGAAAGGTAGAATCACAGGCCCATACCTTTGAAGAGAGTAAAGGGCTATCACCAATGGGATATGGCGTATGACCCACAAACTGATGTGATCCAATAGGGGATGGAGTTCCGTATCCAATATCACTGGCAGATGGTGATGCCCATGCTGGACGGAATTTCATATAAGATTTTGCTACATCAACAGGTGAACATTGGCCAACTTCAGTAACCTGCACTAGTCACCAATTACTTAGCCAACTATACCAAAATACTATGAAATGAGTGACAGACTTCTCAATCTTGCAAATGTTACACCATGTGTTATACTAAAACCAAATATCTCACCAAGCAACCATATCACACCTCTTGAAGTTCAGAAATTGTAAACACGTATGAGAATTGGCACGGGACACATCTTTCCCTTGAGTAGGGCACATTTTCACTTCTTTATGGGAAACCGCACAATCTTTAGACAAGCAACACAAACATGTAAAATTATGAACATATTTTTATAATACATTATCTTTAGTTTAGCCACACAATATGAGTACGTGCAAACTGCAGGGTGTCACAAGCAAACTTACAGCCACCACACCAGTAAATCAATAACATATATTAAAAGAAAAAGATGTGCACTAATAGGTCCATCAATAAGAACATGCAACAACATCACAAGACCAACATGCATTCAAAAAGTCATCACGCATGAGTAAAGGAAATTATCATGGCTACATATTAAAGATCACTTTTAGGATCTCTAGCCAATAGGATACCGTGAAAAAAACATTTAGTGTAAGGAAATCTGAAAAATTAAACATGACTAAACAAATGCAAAGGCAGAGCTCCACATGGGACTAAAAGGATGTAATAATCATCAAAACAGAAAGTGTCACAACTCATCTCATTAAACTCCAATGGAATTAATGGCCATATAGAAACCTTCAAACATTACATGTAGTGCACTTAGTGAGAAAATATCAGAGATGACAACCAACTGATAGCTTTCACAGAAGGTACAGCTCTAAGTATTAGAGCTAAAATTTAAGGGTTTTTTTTTCGCTATGACGAATTTTTTATGATTTTTTTTTTTTGCCAAAATTTTAGTGCTAAAATTTAAGATTTGTAGACTAACTGGTAGAAAAATATGATGACCACAAATATTATAGCCTATCACCCTCAGTACGTTCTATAGACTTCCTTTCTTCTTCAGACATAATAGGGAAAATAGGAAAAATTTCCCAATTATATTTTCTTTAGTTTCTTTAATATACCCCCAGTTCGAACTTGAAGTTCCATACCGGGTTCTTTTTTTCTGAATGACATTACTAATTTGGGAGTGAAACTTCAAGTTCCTAAATGTGTCTTTTGAGTGAAATACCGGTTAGGAACTTCAAGTTCCGAACAGGGTCACTCGTCTTTTTTTAGTGAAAGACTGATTTTGAACTTCAATTTTGAGCCAAGACACTAGTAGAATTTTTATTTTCAAGTGATAGACCATAGATCAAATCGCAATCAAGTTCTGAACCAGATCACTTGTCTTTTGCTGAGGGAAGCGTCACTTCAAAACTTCATTCTCACTAAAAAAATTAACATCTTAGAAAAGCCAGAGTATAAGTTCTTATGTAGGAGCATATTGTAAACTTAGTTCCTCGAATAAAAGACTCATTTAGATTGAAAATTCAAACTTTTTCCATTTGAAAATAAACATTTGAAGATTCTAAAGTGGATCCCAAACTTAAAAACAGAAAAAAAACATATATAAATATTTTACCTTAGGGAGCAAGTATACATACAATGTGAACCTTTAAGAGCACAATATAATTAAAAAGTTAACACATAGGAAGGATAAGGACGAGGGTGAGCATATGTATTCAAAGAGCTGACATCACCTATTAAATGCACACAAGTGCACCCTTTTTCTTTCCTTTGTATGTGTGAACTTCTTATTATATTGTTCTCCTACAAGTGCATATATACACTTGCTACCTAAGGGAAAATATATTCTTTTGAGGGGAAATTTTGGGATCCACTTTAAAATCACCGGATGATTATTTTCAAAAATAAAAGTTTGGATTCTTGATCTAAATAAGTCATTTATTCAAAGGACAAAGTTTACAATCTGCTCCCACAGCACCATGCTATACCCCTTTCCAAAGGTGTTTATGTTTTAGTGAGGTGATACCGTTTGAAGCTTCTGGTCCATCACTTAAAAAAAATTTACAAGTGACCCGAACACGAACTAGAATTCCAAACTGGTCTACTGAAAAAAGACAAGTGACCCCCAATCAGAACTTGAAGTTCAAGTTCTGAACCGGCATTTCACTAAAAGAAAAATACCAACCTGGCTCGGCACTTCAAGTTCCAAACCAATATGTCAGTCAGAAAAATACAGCAAATTTATAAGGGATATTTATGCAAATTTCCTAAGAAATAGTCATTCAGAAGGCAAAATAATACAACCACAAAAAATCATAGACTCTTTGATCCATTAGTAACCCCTATCAGCACTAAATTAGCCTTTGAAAAAAAAAAGGAAACCATGTCAAAAAAAAAAGAAGCAATAGTTGATGTTCATTTCATTAACAGAAAAACTAAAGCTCAAAGGACTTAAAGGACAAGAAGTACTAACAATAGGCAGCGGAGTAGTGTTCAGAGTGCAAGGCCCAAGGTTCTGTCCAGGACTGGATTCCAACTTTTTCTCCTCCACCCATTTCTTTGCCTCCATAACAGCTGTATTTTCAAGATCTCGTGCTAAAGATTTGGGGGTTCCACTACCGAAATCATTCACCCTTCTAGGAGATACTACGGATGAATTTCTCATGTGATATGGCAAGTGGTTTGTTCCAGAGAAGAAAAGACTTTTCAAACCTGAAGCATCATGAAACTCTTGATGGGTAGCATCCTCACCCTCATGCAACACATGGGAGCTGTCTACAACTCGTGATTTAAGTATCCTGGTAAGATTAATATATTCGGACCTGGTGAAACAAAACCTCAAACCCTGTCAAAAGAGTAGGTTGTAATCCAACCAATCTACAAAGACTATAACCAATCACGCATCTGACAAGGAGCCAACAGGCAACTCCAGAAAAGCACAGTTGGATTCAGTTGACTCTATAGCACAATAACTAAAGAATCCCAGATTTGCAATGTTTTCTCAAAGAAAAATCTCAGGAAACAAAAAAGAGATTGGGTATGCAACTTGGAAGTGTTACATGCAACAGTAGAAAATTGATCCCCCACTGCTTATAGCATGTTCATGAGATTAAAATACCACAAGTAAAAGAGATATGCATACAACAATAAACATTCTTTTAAGTTGCCCTACGTACGAACAAATGACATATAATGCCCAGAATTAAAGAGAAATAGCAAACGATCAGCTGTCGCCTTAATGAAAATTTCATGATCAAGCAATGACAATAGGAAAGAGGAAGTCCCCAACATTAATGTTAATTACATCATAATTTAATAAAACGTTCCTTTTTTACTTTTTATTTTTTTGAAAATAGATAAAAAGGTTCTTGTTATTTCTAATTCATAAAATTGATTTATTACTAGTTTCCTAAGAAAGATTAAATTCTGAAAGCATAGTAGCCCAATGAATAGAGTTTCAAATGTCTATAAATACTAAAGTTGAGCAAAGCAGCTCATATAAGACTCAGAACTGATATACTCAGCCAAGCATGCATAACTGAGCAACTCTAGCACTTGTATGAAGTCTTATTGACTTGAGGGTGTCTGACTTTCGGACTGTTATTAAATATGTCAAGCAACTGATAAAAAAAAAAAGTGAGGTAACACTAAAGAAAAAAGCTTTGTTGCTGTTGGGTTTTGGGCATCTGGCTTAACATCTAGGGTGTGGACAACTGCAGCAGCACAGTCCAGGATCAAATCCCACTGCTCATATACCCCATCCACTGCACCCAAAAAGGAAATATTTATTGTTGATTCCCAACACAGTCCCGTCATTTATCCCAGATCTCACAGAAACCTGATATGTCCGACAAATTCATTAAACCAACCCTGAAGGTTTCGGACTTAGGAAAACACCATACAAATATTTGAGTTATATATAAGATTTGCACATCCATTCAGGAATTTGAATATGAGTCCATATAACCAAAAGAAATTCAAAAGAACAACAGAGTAATATATCTAGAAAAATCTAGGATAACGCCTCACAAGAGAGAGTAACATGAATCTGAAACTAAGTGCAAAAAGTTCCGACTTTAAAAACATCAGCAGAAGGAAACCATAAAGAAATGCAGTACATGAGGAACCAGCAGTCATCCAGTCAGCCAACTAAATTTTAAAAAAGTTAAAATTAAATCCGAAACCCATAGAAATATGAGAAAAATGGAACCTTGAAAAAGTTTCTTGCTGGATTAATTTCACAATCGTGGTTTTTGCTTCGCCCATAAAGGGAACAACTAAGGAAGCAGTATCCAGGTTCTCCATTGCTTCTGAGAAAATTTCATCCTGCATAAATATAAACAAGAAAAGGCGATACAGGAGATCAAGATGTGACAGTCTGAGCCTCAAGAAATATAAAAGCCAAAATCAAGTGATTGAGATAGGAATATGATGCCAATATATAACACAAAATGATAGGAATTAGATTTCTTTAATTTCCTATATTCAAGTAAAATTATAGGCATATTAAGTTTTTTTATTTTAAATGGTACCAATTTTAAATAAAGGTCATCATTACACAACAGAACTATATTGGAATTTAATATTCCTCAATTCTCTATTTTCAAGAAAAAGTGAAGCACATGAAACTTAAACTATTTTATTTATTCTAATGCATTTTTTAAAAATATATATATTATGCCAATTTAAATAAGGAATTTGCAAAATGTCAATTCATTATCATCTGAACCTTATCCCAACTATTTGAAACCGGCTAAATTTGGAAAATGTCAACTACGCATATACTAATTTTCTTAGAACTATAAGATTTCTAAAAATCAATTTTCAAGGTACTGCTAAATGTCGATTGTAAACAAGTCTCTTTAATATAGATACCTTTCAAACAGAAAAATCCAGTATTCCAAATACTATTGCAAACAAAAGGTCAGCAAGTTTATTCCATGTTTTATCATAAAAAATAAGAGAATACAAACTCCCTAAAGAAACTTACAAAATTATCTCTTTAAGCATAAACCATAAGTACACAGGAAAAACACCGAGAGTGAACAAAAGTTAGAAAAGTACCGGCTTCGACTCAACAAAGTCACCAGAGTCAGCAGCTTCATTCTCCTCCTCTGCATGAAGACCTGGCAGGTTAGTCTCTAAAACATCTCAGCCATAATAACAACAATGAACGTTAAATAGGAAAACATGATAATCCTAGAAAGCCTCATAACCCTCAGCATCACCTAACAGGAAAATAAGAACATAATAATCCTCACAATGAACACCACAAATCAAGCAAAATTAAAAACCACAAATAAAATGTGGGGATACTTCATTCATTCACAATATGAAGCAGTTAGACACAGAAAAGCATCATATTACTACATCCAGGTATTAAATATAAAAGACAAACAATAAAATTGCGTGGTGTTGGTTGAATGTGGCCATTAAAGGCCTTATGAGTGCTTGTACGATGAAATGATATAGTGGAACATGAACTCAATGGGAGTGTGGTCCCTCGTGGACCATACTAAGCAAACGATATTTGTTGATACTGAACTGTGCTTTACAGTTTGGCCAATCGGTTGAGAAAAACCTATGTTATCTGAGCATAGAAAATTAACCGATAAGGATTTTAATGGGTCATCCCTTGATGAGGTTGGAGTATGCCCGAATAAGTAAGCCAAGGGATTGTGTGACCCTTGTGTGTGATGGCGGCCTTCAGAGACGAGAACCAAAGCCTCATCCATGTACCATCACACGGCATGCATAATAATAGCTGTTTCGAGAAAGCGAGTTATGCATGTGCGAGAGATACCCCTATGCGTCATAGAAGTTGTGGTCGCATCAAGTCTATATGACCTTGGCACGTCTCTAGAGGAGAACCTGAAATCCACATACTAGGATTGTGACCTTTTGGCTCATCGGCAAGACTTTGGTAACCCACTAATGAGCCCCTATTTGGACTATCGGTCATGGGAAACACTGGGTCGGTTTGATAAAACAAGTGTGGTCCGTAGTCCACAATCGAAGGTGGAGTGCCCCCGTGCTTCATTGACTCCTATACCATATGGATCATTTTCCCATCTTATGAATTTAATTATCTTTCTTTTATGATATATGATTTTTAAAATTATTATTTGAATTTTTCTAGACCTCTGGATATTTTATTTGTCAAATTTGGATTTATAAAATCAGAGATATTGATTTTACATTGATTTAAATATTCAAATAAATTCTAAAATTATTTTATTGAGTTTTAAAAATATTTAAAATTGCATGGAGGCCCATTGTGCACATGGGCCCACCATGGCTTAGATGGTGGGGCCCATGAGATCCTCTCATGGGTGGCACGCCCCACCCATTTAGAAGCTTTCTATTGTTTTATGATACGTGACTTTGGCTTGTAGGCCAAGTTGCTACGTGCTTTGAAAAGGTATTGGCTTGAGGAAGCTTTAAATGATTTTTTAGAAAGCATGAGAAGGCTTGTGCATTATTTTGATATGTAAAATATTATATTTGAAATTATTTTATTTAATTTCTATTAATGAAAAAATGGTTTAGGAAAAGGGGATAAAGTTTTAACACGTTCCATAATGTTAATGGCCCATTTATGGAATAGATTGCTCAAATCTCTTACTCCACACGTCACCCAAGATCAATGTTTCATATTCAATCTCACAAGAAGATACAAGCCAAAAAAAACCCTAAAAAACCCTAATCTCGTTCAAAGCCTATAAAAAAAGATTGTCTCTACCCAAAATCTCTATACCTTATCTTTTATACCTAATTCTCATATTTCTCTCTCATATCCCACAAAGGGCTGTGCCCCACTTAGAATCTCTCTCCTTTAAAAAAAGTTTCTCTCATTAAAACCAAAAAGGGGGCACGTCCCACTCTCCTATATTTGAGATCTCTCTCTCTCCCACATTGTGAAAGAACCTATGGGTTTAAGGAACCTATTGAGTTCTTCTCTCTCCCATCTTTCAACTATGAATTTATGGCTAAGGGTTTTAGGGTGTAGCAAAAAGATAATCTATCTCTCTCAAACTAGGTTGTCAAGGGGATTCACCAGGGGGTTTGAGATTTGTGATAAAAGAGTTCATAATTCCATTAGAGGGCTTGGCCTAAACTTGCTTTCTCGGTTGAGATTGAAGGTTGATCGTTGATCCCGTGTCATCGGATGGTGGTGACTTGGTGTGGGGTGTAATAAGCCCGGTTGAGGTAATCTCCGACACTCTTTTTTTGTTTCTTTCCATATTTAACTATATTGTTTTTATATTTCCAAGCATAAGAATTGTAGATATTTTCTTTATTTAAAGAAAATTTGTTTAAAAGCATCAAGATTTTTAAGATCTTGGATTTGTTAGGTTTATTTTATTTGAAGCAAAAGTTATTGTAAGAAGACTACTTGTAAGTGATCTTTGCCAAAAAGAAAAAGAAAAGAAAATGGGTGAAAGGAAAAAAAATAGAAAAATATATTCCCCTCCAATATCACGTTAATCTTTCTTTAACGTGGTTCCAACTTCGACTTGTCACTTGGAGTATCCATAAGGCATAATGCCATGCGAGCAGAGAGAGCTAGTAGGAAGAAAATCAGTGAATACACCGTAAAAGCTCAAAGAAAACTCATAAACCACCAAACAAATTCATAACAACAATTCCTCACCGTTTCTATAAAGGGATTTTCTATAAACCATAACTTCATCCGTTAGACAACCAAAAACCGAAACAGCTTCACAAGAAACTGAAGTAGTAAACACACAAACCCGCTATAATACTCAAGAGCATAAGAAAAACCCAACACTAGAAAGAATTCAATTCGTAAAGTCCGTCCTAAGTTTAGACCATCATTTCTGACAATTTATTCGGCCATAGACCAACGAGTTTTGTTTGATCATTCAACCAAAAACCAAGAATTAAACAACAAAAAAAGCATACTCCATTAGTTCCCAATCATGCTTTTTCACAAAGGCATAACATAGCAGTAAAAAATGTCAAACAAACACTAAAATAATTCTAAACCCACAAAGAAAAAAATTTCCTGAAAACCCCCAAATCCACCAGAAACCCACGAAACACAACTAGAAACCGAACCCTAAGGTCAAATCCAAACTCTACTCACTCCAAACCCTGAATCCAACAAAACCAACAATAACCCCAACCAAAAACCACAAAACACATCAAAATCCACTCAAAACATTCGTAAAACTTATATAAAAACGAAATCAACAGAACAGCGACATTCATAACTTACCATATTTCTCTTCACTATCAGAAGAAGAAGAAGAAGAAGGAGAACCAGTCTCACGCCCTAAAAACGCAGAGGAGAGAAACTTCCCCGCGCCATTAGCGAACCTTGATAACCAGCTAGGTTTTTTTTCATGGACGTCACATGACGCTTCAGGGCGCCTATAAGGGGAGGCGCCATGAACACCGTTTCCTCTTTTTCGTCTAATCTTTCCACCAGATCCGCGTTCTCCGTTAGAAGGAGAGCGAGGCTCGAAAATGGCGGACATCTCTGCAACAAAACGCACGCGAAAATGGAATTTTGAGAGAGAGAGAGAAAGAGAATGCTTTTTTTTTCCTTTTGCAGGGAGACAAAGTAGTCGAGGGCGCGATGATCCGAGAGAAAGTGGATAATTTTTGGTACGCTCCGATTTCGAAGGGCCCAAACGTTCGGTTTGAGAGAGGGTGTGTATGCGTTTTAGTAAAGAGCCCTGGGGATTTTGTGAAATTTCTATTATGGCCCCTCAGATTTGAATTCGCAGTGCTGGTCAGGGACCTAGGGTTCAGGTAGTTATCCTACCAGTCGGCAGTTGTAACCTGGAATTTGCGAGTAAGGAACCTAGTTTTTGTAGGAAAAGCCCATTGTGTGTGCCCCCCGATTGTCGATAGGGCCGCAGCTGCCGTCTTGGTCCAGATTTTAGACCCAAGCAGGTCAGGTCTGACCTCAATCAAGTTGGTCTAGGTTCAATCTATACCCAAATGAGCCAAGTCGAACCCAATATTTTATGCAAGCACATACTATATATTTTTATTTTTTTTAAGATTTTAATGTTATTTGGCCTTGTTTTTTCTTAAAATCAAGGGTCATTTCATTTTGTTTTTTTGGAAAAAGAGAGAACCTAGGCTCCTTAAGTAGGGTGACCCTACACCTATTAGGATAAAGGTTGTCCTTGGACCAAGTGAACCATTTACACGCCTGATACCCAACTGGTGAACCCATCTTGATTAATCTAAAGTCTACTCTAAATCACTTCATATGCACTCCGCATTATATTCATGAACTTGCCATTCGAAAGATGGTACATATCTCATCCGTGAATTAATTTTAAGGTTCAAAATTCATTTTCTTTTGCAGATTCATCGATAGTTGAGATTATCAACTTTTGACAAACTAGATCTAAAACTCAGATTGTATAAAAGGAGGTTGTTTATATTTGATACAAAAAGGTCATAATTACTTACAATCATCCGATGTAAAATCTGATAGCTCCGATGTATCACAAAGTTTGAAAAAATTTCTTTTAAACTTTAAACTTGGTCCATAAAATAAATATAACCACCCAATTTCACATCCAATGGTCAAGATTAATTGTGACCACCTTGGATCAAAGGTTAATGATCTTTTTTTTATATACTTTACCTTTGTGAATATATACTCCGTTCTTTTTTCATTACATGTAGGTGGAGATTTTGATGAGCACGTTCTAGCCCCTAACTCTCCAAATCCATCACTTATTCATGATGTTACAAAAAAAAGTCGTTAAATATGAAGCTCTATAATTGATCTATCTTATAGCATTTTTCTGGATATTTAAAGTTTTTATAGAACTATCAAATTTGCACTAATTTTTTAAACTCCAAATTCCATAGTCAATGGGTAGATCAAAAAGTATTTCAGGTCCTCAAACCCATCTCCAAGTTGTTTTTGAGCACTTCACATATGGGCAAATCCTTTTTCCCAGTTCAGATACACGTGTCACATGATCAATAAAGGACTCGAAATATCATAAGCCACTGAAGTGACCCGCTTCATTTATGTCCAGCATAAGCAAAATGTTGTCAATACTTTTAACTTCAAAACCCGGAGGTTCCACGAAGACTAAATTGATATTTCAATCTTTTTCTTTCTTCATAAATCTGCATCTTGCCCTCACCAATCCGAATAAAAGAGGGCTTATTTATTCATTGATTAATACTCGTGCCTAGTGAGATGCTTTTCCTTAAACATTCTCTAAATAACATGGAGATGATGTATATGAGAAAAAAAAAATTTAAAAATTAAAAATAATTATTATATTAAGAAAACAATTGGACTGTTAGTTACAATTGTTTTTAAATGGACCGCCTATTTGCATCCATCTTTAAAAGGGATGCTTTATACCTCCGGACCACATATTGTAGAAATGCGATCCAGCCCGCATGAAACAATTGTTCATCATTAAAAGGCTCAAAAGGTCTCAAATAAATTTCCTTTTATAAATGTACCTTCTCAAAAGAATTATCAAAAACTCCTAAATTACTCTATTTAGGGCTGGAAATCCAAAACAATTAGGGACATTTTAACAATTTAATATATTTAAATGCCTCAAGCTAAATTACAAAATATCCTTAGTTGTTCAATATTAGGAAATAGAAGTACCAAATGACCAAAGGTGTGGTGATGTAAAAATGGTTGAAGAGACATTCATACCACTACAGTGTATGAAAAAAATGAAGTTTCGTAGACACATGCCTATGTAACTAAGAATGGTGATGTTAACTTACTTGAATATTCCATTCTTGTTTGAAATTAAAGTGCCCTCCATACCATTCCACAAGGGACATTGACTGGATTTTAGTGCAAAAAGAACTCAAACCTTATCAAAAGTAATGCCATAAGTAAGAATTAATGAGACTTTATATTCAAAACAAGAATGAAAGACCCTCTAATAAATGGCTGAGTTATTTCTTTTTGGTTGGTAGGTTCTTTGAGCTCTTAAATTAGTTTGAATTAGTTGAGATTAATTCAAAACAAGAATAGTTGCTGAATGATTACCCAAGTATTAGAAGAATGATTCTTTTCTTTTGATCAATTTATACTGCAGAAATTTTGTCAGCAAATACTTGCCAAAAGTAATTTGTATACCTGGTGAAAACACTAAAAAGCAATATTATTAGGGAAAACTGGTCATAGACCTTCACCATTGCATGAGAATAGGAAAAAGAGATATAAAGCAAAACAAGAAATAATGGCCTAATAACCTAAGAATACAGCAGACTATCACACCCCTCTCTTACAAAGGGCTTTTCAAGAGACAAACTCAGTTTTTTCAGGAGAAAAGATCTCACCCTATTTTACACTATGAAAAAAGGGATACTCATGGTTCGCCAAAGGGGCACTTGGGCCATATTCAATAACATCAAGTATTTGTGCAAATAAATATAGGCGGCAGACTGAGCCGCCCATTCTTTTTATTCTGCCACCCAGTAATGGGTGCTAAAATGGTTGGGCGAGCTGCTTGGGCCACTCATTTTGTTAGGGCAACTATTAAAAAGGTGAATAACCATATCTGTTCTATAGAAATACACCTGCCATAACTGTTCTATAGAAATACACCTAAGATTTCTGATTGAGTGGGGGGGAATGTTTCTGTTTCTTTGCAATTTAAGAATTAATACGTCACAGAGAAAAGAAATTTATATAAATTACAAGACTGAATTTTATTTTCATAAATATAAATATACTACCAGTAATTGAATAAATATAAGGAGAAAATATTTGGTCTTATTCATGCCTACTTACATAGCATTTCACATTGTTCCAAATTCAATCCTCCTAAATCACTACACATAAAACCTACTTACTTTGCTGTTCTCTAGCTAAAAAAGAAAAACTGTAAGAAATTAGCCACGGTACACAAATACCCCCACAACCACTGTTACCTGCTTTTCACTCACTAGAGCAGGAAACAAATCCAAGAAACCCACCTATAAAAATTTCATACCAAAGACCATAGATTTTTACATGGAATCTCTCACTATAAAAGGATAAAAAATCTAAAAATATATTAAGATACCATAACAAGATTTAGGGAACAAAATAACTACCCTTAGTTTTTCATAATGGAGGTAGTGAGAAGAGATATGGTGACTTCTAGTCTGACTGAAGGTATGGCGACTTCTGGTCCGACTGAAGGTATGGCACTTGATAGAGCGGAATGGCAAAACATGAATTGTGTAGCCACCCCAAATAGTTGGGAAAAGGCTCGGATGATGATGATGATTGAGGTAACCACCTGAAAAAGGTTGTAGATATATACAAGTTGCAATGGATAGAATATTAATTTATCTTTAAACAAAACACTAACCAAAAATAAAAGGATGGCATTCTAGAAAATTTACGAGTAGTTAGCTCTCCCCATCTTCTGAAATTACATGTCAAAGTCCCACAACCATGCACTCCATAATGAATTTCCTAGATACTCCAAATAATAGTAAGTACCAATAAATAAATAAGATGTTTCAGAAATATGTCATCATCATCGTCATCATTTTAGCCTTTTCCCAATTAATTGGGGTCGGCTACATGAATCCTGGTTCTTCATTATGCTCTATGTACATGACAAAAATCAGAGTAACAATGATCTGCCGAAAGTTCTAGAATAACACAAAACAAATTGGGGAAAGAAATCACTTGCACATAATTCAAACTTACATCACCCAACAAAAAAGTGAGCTATACCCACGTTCTGGGTCTATATCTAGGTTCCCCACTTTGATCCATCATGGACGAGCTAGAAGTACAATCAAAGCCAGCTCTTTTAAATGTACAAAGAGTATGCACCTGAAAGAAATACCAATTGAAAAATCGAAACATTTATTAGATAGAATTAGGACCTTAAAAGTAAAATAGTAAAGGAAATATAAATGAACTCAGGAGTCAATTAAATGTCATCATATTAAAATGCACGACTTTTAGAAATTTCTACCACATTCAAATTACATCCCCTTTTCCTTTGTTTCTATTTTCCTAGAAAAGCTACAATTCAATTGGAACTACAAAACTTCCACCTAGGTGCCCATCCAAACCACCTGATACACACTGTAAGTGATGATACATACATGGTAATAGGAGTGTGCAAATTGATGCATTAGATCCAGCTCTCAAGTGATGATTTGACGCTAAAAAACCAGCACAAATCAAATGGTAAACTGAAGCAAATACTATTCTCACTGGCACTTAAATATATAGATAACCCAATCACATTCAATAATCAGGATGTTAGAGTTGACTCACGGTAAACTCAAATCATTCTTGGATTAGAGTATCACCCTAGTTCACTGTGCTTAAGGATGACGTAAGTGAAACCAAATTTGGATCATCCTTGTGCTTGCTCCAAGCAGATTCAAATTCTAAGCCCTTGCATCTTGAAGATGGAAAATGACGTCTAATCAGCCCAGACAAACGAATAAAAAATGAAGGCGGACACAAATAAAAGACATGGCCTTTCACAAGTCAAATATAAAACCAAGGATGCAAAAGAGAACCATTTTCTTTTTGGTGATAAAGCATGATACTTTCAAATGCATCTCATAAGTATCCTCACCTTTGGAGCAAGAACATTATTTTAAGAACGTGTTCACGAATCGCAAAACGTTCTTTTCTCAAGGATGCCTCTCTATAAGTTACAGTAAGCTCATCTACTAATCTGAAATCATACACATGTATAGAGATCATTAACTAAATGAAACTTGACGACAGAAGAAAGAACAGGTACAAAACCTTGATGATTTTAGACAAAATTGACCCCACAAGTGGAGTAACACAATCATTACAACAAGAGATAAAAGAAGATAGCATCCACACCTTTCCAAGTATGGAGTATTCCGGACCCATATTAACTTCATAATTGTGTAGATACGTTCGAGAACCTGTAAAGTAATGAATTGGTTCATCTACTTATGAAAATGCTTAATGAAGATCATAATTGTAATCTAAAACAAAAAGCACATTTTGAATCCAGGGATTAGTATCACTCATGAGATTGCCCATATGTCTTTTCCAATTTCTTTCTGTCAATTTATGGGAACACAATAAACATTCAAAAAAAGATTATGGGGGCATAATAAATCCCCATGGCACAACAGACTGGTTCATCTACTTCGGACAATGTTTAATGAAGATCACAAATTGCAATAAAAGAAAAAGCACGTTGTGAGTCTAGAGGCTTACTAATACATTAACCAATACACCAATTCTGGTAACATTAACCAATACACCACCAGTTCCGACTTCCTAGTGGTTCCATGGCCATTGAATTCTCTTAAACCTCGCAACTGCTTTCAAAAAGACAAAATTGTCCATTTCTTTTAAAAATCTCCAGCTCTAATAGTAAGGACAAAGCCTAACCTAGTACCCCTGCCACAAAACAGGCAACAGAAGGTGGGAATTTGTCCCTCCCTTAATGGGCGGCCAATAGTTTCAGGCTTTCCCTCATTAGGGAGAGATCCCTAAGCAGGCATTAGGGATTTGATTGAAATGAGGAATGTATCAAGTGTTTGGTATGTGACCAGGTTGATTAGATCTTAATCTATTGTGCATGTCTCAGATAAGCCGACCCCAAATAGTTGGAATAAGGCTCAGATGATGATGATGCATGTCCCAGATACATTACTTTCACAAATTTTGAAAAAGACAAAAAAGGCATGTCCTCTGGCATTAGTGTTACAGAGGTTTTAAATTTTTCACTATGCAATCCCCAGAAATTCCATTTCTAAAATTTTCACTATGCAATCCCCAGAAACTCTCAGTTCCTTCTTTTTCAAATTTATTAAACCTGAAAGGAACAGAAGATCATCAATCAATAAGCAACTAAGATTCCAATTCAAGGAAATGGATGCACAAGTTTTTTTGATGGGGAAGAATGTAAACTCTTACCAGAAGAACAGATCTATCATCGTCAGCATGCATCCAGTCGAAGAAAAGGGTCATGACACGCTTTAAATGGGCTAATAAGACAAGCCCCATGGCATTGAAAATTGGCTCAATTTGCTGAAGCCATGGAATACGTCGCTCTTTACAATTAGGTTGACGTTCCAAATGTCCTAGCATGTCGCCCAATATGCGCTCATACCTATATAGCAAATAAAGATAGAATATTGACTAAAATTTAAGTAACAAATACCACATAAAGGAAATTAGGAATTTTTTTTACATAGATTCTTTCAAATAAATCAACGTATAATGGCAATCCATGCTTCTATAGATAGGAAGTTAGAAAAAGGAAGACTCCTTTATCACATAAAAGATGATGAAGTATGTCACTATGAATAAAACATTAAAACATTTATGTAAATAGTAGCTTCATCATTCATGAAATAGTTTCCATAACCCTCCATTAGAAATCACACACTCAAAGATAACCACAAACAATAAATAGTTGACAAGGTTTATCTAGAGGTTCAATGCAGAGAAATAGCCACTGCGACTCGAATCAGCACTATCTCAAATTATTGAATGTACTATTTACGTTCACCTTCAATCTACTAAGAGCCGAATACTCATCAAGACTTACAAAATGAAAATAAATCACTGATGTAATAACTTACTCATATAATGTTTATGCAACAAGTAATGCTTATGCAATGAAGAGTAGTGTATTCTTATTGTTATATCGACATCAATAGTTAAGACATCCCTTTATGAGGACAATAATGATGATTATAATGTCACAATGATTGTTGATATGCTTTTCAATATCAAATATAAAGCATGACATGCATGTATAGTCCAATATCAAGATTAAAAATCCACGTACCAGTAGCTACGAGGGTTCCTGCATTCAATGCAAGTCAGCAAAAGCACTGACATTTCAACGGCATATTGCCAAATCTCATCAGCAGCAGCAATATTTCGATATGAAGCATCGAGAACTACATCTCCATAAGAACCAAATTCAGTTGCACTCATGTTTATTGACAGATGCATAAAACTGATCATAGCCTGTCCCTGGAAATCATATATGAGAAAATTGTACATAAATATCAAAATAATCATAATTATTGCCTGTCCCTGAAAATTATGTATGATAAGAGTAGTAATCATAAAATCCACATTATCCTAATTATAGCCTGTCCCGGAATTTATATACGATAAAAGTTAAATCAAGAATTTCAGATAACCCTGATCATGTCAGGATTGTCGCAATGGTAACACCTCGCAGTTCTTATATGAAAGAAGCGCATGTTCTATAACATAAATTGCAACAGAAAAATAGTTCAAGCCATCAGGATGTATATTGCTATAGAGCTTACAGCATGACTGCCAGCCAAAATCCACAAATCTCTAAAATATCAATTTGTTGATTAAACAAGCAGCACATGAAAATCAATCTTTTATATAACTTTTACGCAAATACAAAACCCACTAACCTTTAGAAAAGAGCTATATCATCAAAAATAGGAGTTTGTTGACAAAAAATATATATCATGCATGTTCATAAGTTCGTAAGTTCATCAATGTTTTTAGAAACAATCTAGCATGATAATCACTTCTGTGACTTAAAATCCTCTTTCATACAAAAGAATCATAATAGTAATTATGCACGATGAGGCACAAAACAAATGTGTTTATCATTAAAATGCACACACTAATACAAATAATGCTCTGGTGAAAATTCAATAAAAAGGGTTAAAGATTTTTTTACTGTTATACACAAAAAATAAGTAAATAATATGTCAAACGTACCTTAACTTCTGGTGACCAATGATCTAAGGCAGTCAATGCACACGGAATCACCCAAGCACATAGCTTTCCAAGATGGGGTTGGTTGACCTACAATGAGAAAAATGCAGATTTACTTAAATTATCAGAGCTTAACTCTTCATAACATAAGAATAGTTCACCAAAAATGTTAAAAACAAAGTGCTTATTTACTTTGCAATAAACAATGCAATAGAAAAACGAATTCAACAGTGAATTCTGGATAATGACTTCTTGGTAACTAGATCTCGTAGCATATGTTTGGAAGATGAAATTTAGAAGTAGTGGGCACCTTCAATTACTGCATAAACTGCAATTACATATGTAACTTCACAAAGCAACATACCATCATTTTAATTAAAATCTGCATTTGAAGACTAATTGCCAAAAAGGGAGCTCATTAATGGGATTAATAATCTATGCATTGAATGGGAAATACCTGTTTTACCCACCATCTTAGCTGATGGGCAGCTACAATGGCATATTCCTTTGGAGCCCTAGCACAAGCAGCCTCAACCATATCTTCGTTGGTATCAATGGACGTCTCCTTTATTGAACCCTTTAAAATTGGCATAATTCTTGGCATCAAAGCCACCATCAACCTCTCCCCTTTATCAATAGCTCCAAAATCCATTTCCATTGATCCATTTTCCCACGGTTCTCCTAAAATTGACCCTGAAAGTTCCTTTATAGCCATGGCTGCCTCTTCTGAAAGCTTCATTGGAACCCATGACATTGTGGTACCCCTGTCGTCACTTGCAGAGGCCAGAGCGGCACAACACAAGCAAAAATCCAGAGTCAAAAGCCATGCCTCCTCCATGTTACAGTTAGGGTTTAGCATACCGTCTTTTGGTAAAAGAGATTCCAATATGGATTTTACAGACATATTCGAGCTTTCGGGCTGCATGTATGGAGTTTGTGATAGCATTTCTCTGATCAAATTCAAAAACCTAAATAAAAGCAAATAATTAGCGCATATGTAATTCGAGGTTTTTTATATGAAACACTGAAATTAAGGGATATGAACTTACTTTGTGAATTTTTTAAAGAAGAGAGGCGAGAGATTGGGGAGCTCTTTGCCTTGATTCAACAAACTAGTCGCCATTAATCTCTGACTCTGAGAATAATTTGCTGTGAGCATAAAATCTCGCTTTTTAAAAGGGAATAGAGAAGACCCGTCCCTATATGAGCTTTTCAGGAATAAGAGACAAGAGAAATGAGAGCTCTTTGCGTTGTTACAAGATATCAGTCACCATTGATCTCTGGTTCTCTAAACAATTTACTGAATGTTGCACACCTAAAAAAAATAAAATATATTTCTAAAGCAGAAGCTTGGTCTATAATGGAATTGGAGAAAACCCTTCACTGTATGAGCCTTTGGAAGAAGAGGCCCCAGCCGCCTTGTTTCAATAGATGGGTGGCCATTAAAGTCTGGCTTAGAGAGGAATGTGCTGCGTTTTTTGGATAATAAAAGCTTCCCTTGAGAGAGAAACCGAGAAAACCCTAAGAAATTAGTGTGAGAGAGAGAGGGAGCGCCATGAATTACCCTGGTTATATGTAGAGCAAGCCTTCGCGCTGAAAACTGGAGACGGAAATGCAAAGGGATCGGGTAAATATTTCGGCTGGCGCATATGTTATGCTCCCGCGGGTATATATAATGTACATTTACTCTTGCGGGCAGAAGACCAACATGGGGAGTGCCTTTTATCCGAAATTTTGAGAACCACCAAAAAATCGGCATAGGATTATATGTAAAGAAAAAAATTGGATTTCAAATTCTCTAGATTTCACTCTTCAAAAAGTAAATAGTTTTTATTAATCTTAAGGCATTATTTTTCCGAACCTACAGATAATATAATTAGGATTTTTTTTTTTGGGTTTTGCATATGTTTGTAGATGTCATATTGTCCTAAAAACACTTAGATTGAGCTCGTTTGAGTAAATAGACAACATACTCTCTCAGGGGCACAAAATCTTTTGGCTTTTTGGGTATTTGCAACTTTAGTGCCGTTGGTTTGAAGTTTCAGTTGCGAGGATCGCACCGGCCACCGCGTTTGGTCCAACTGAAATTTGTCTAACAAAGTCAAACTAGTTGGACTGAACTTTAGGTTAAAGGAACAAAATTTAAATGTACTCGTTTAAAAAAGTCCATATCATGGAATATAAAATATATTGAAAATTTTGTCAAACTTCATTTTACCTCGTGGAAAATAAAAAATGTCTCATCTGAACCGATCAAATATTGATTTTGATTCGATTAAATTTTATTTTATTTTGGATTAAACCAACCATAACACCGATCAGATCACTCAATATGGTCTTAATAATTATAGTTTTATATCGGTGGGTTGCTCACCCTTGTTAAAGATTTAACGTACACTGGATTTTAAAATTGGGTTCGGCAGATTTTTTGGTTTAGCTTGAGATTGGTGGTTGACCAATGTAAGCCTACATCCATGATGTATATTATTTATTACAAAATATTTATATGTATTAAATTTTATATGGGTGTAGTTTCTATAGTGTTACAACTTTAAACAATTCAAATAAGGCGTAGCTCCAAATTTTATCACAATATGTAATTTTGACGTAAAAAATTCCTAGGATTATTTGAAAATCTATTTCATATCTAATTATAAAATCTAAAACTCTAAAATTGGTCAAAATGAAGTAGATATATAAATATATGAAAATCTTGAAACTTGATGGTTTAAATAATGTGTTGCAAGATGCATTGTTTATGGGACTCAAAATCTTTTCGCTTTCTTTTTATATTCATACATTTAGATGTCGAGATGATCAATAATTAGAGGGTTTTTCAACATTAAAACAACTATTTCCGATGATTTTTTAGATGAAACTTTTTTTCATTTTATATTGATATATTCTTATTTATTTAATTTTTTTTAAAATGCTTCAGCTTCAGACCTTAAAAGTCCATGTTACCAAAATTATTGATTTTGAACCTTTCAAGGTCAAAGTCTAATCATTTCGGAACTTCAAGGGTTTTAGTGATGGAGTCGGATCTTGATTTCAAACTTTGAAGGTATAAAATGATTTTTAAATAGAGCTTGTGAATGTTTGAAATGACGAGACTTTGAGCCTTAAATGTCTGGAATCACAAAAAAAAAGAAAATAAATAAATAAATAAATCTTTAATCCGAAGTCGTTGTCACTTCAAACCATGAAGGTGTCACTCGAGGTCCGTTGGTATTTTGGAAAAAAAAATGTATGAATGAAAAAAATAATAAATAATAATAATAATAATAGCAACAACAACAATAATGGATAATATTTTTATGATAGCGGTAATTTTAATGGGGCACGCGGATAAATTTCTCGTAATCACACAATTATTGGTTTTTTTAAAAAAAACCAAATTTCCCTGTTCCCTCTAAACCATTGGGTGAGTTGTTTTTTCACTTTAGGACTTATTCACGAAAAACTCATGTTAAAAATAAATATAAAACATATTATTTTTTAGATGATTAGAGGTTCCGAAACTTTGTTTAAACTTTTAAAAATATGTTTATATTTTGAATAAAATACCCTAGTATGCAGAGTAACTCACTGGCGGGTGACATAATTCAAACCACCAGTTAAAATTTTTAAATATGATCGATATTTATCATAAAATATTTGAGCAAGGGCAATTTTGTCATGAAAGAGGGGAAAAATATATTAAAATCAAAATAATGCAAGTTCTAAAAAAAAAAGTAAACATGTTACATATGTTGACGAAAATATTGAAAACGTACGAATAATGAAGTTTGGTTCCCATATAAGTGCTACATAGTTATTTCACAGTCTAAATTCTAAAATGTAATAAATCTTAATAGTGACATAGATGAAATTGATATTTCATTTAAAAAAGTCAAAATATACAATGCAAATCAAGACAAAATGATGGGGTGGCTCATTGAAACCATGGAGGTCGCAGCCCTAAACATCTATTGGTTAACAAAAAACGAGCATTTTTTTTCAAGGACAAGCTTTCTATGCTTCTCCAACAACATAAAATTTATATACTTCCCCCTGTCCAACCGTTCATTCTGAATGGACGGCTGAGATGATGCCAATCACCATATCATGTCTCCACACTATTTTATTTTTAATTTTTATCACAAAATATTTTGACACCAAAATTTGAGAATCCACTCCTCTCTTAAGCTTGCGCTTATAAAAAATATAAAAATAATATTCTCAATAAAATTGACCAAAATACCTATAAAAATTTTAAAGGATATTTTTATCATTATATTTTACCAAAAAAATATTTTTAATATTTGTTTAGATTCTTTTCATTTAGAAGATGTCATGTACCAAATTTTATAGTCATACAATTTGTAAAAAAAAACAATAAACTACTATGAGGCTCGGATCTAGATTAAATGGTCAATGACTCACTTGATCTAAATTGAACGGCTGGATGAAGGGAAAGTATATATCTTCTATGTTATAGGGGAAATATAAAAATCTTGCGTTTTTTTTAATACAAAACCAAGCAAAAAAATGATTTTATTAGAAATCTCATAAAAATCATAAAAATATTATCTAATGCTACCTAAAACAAAATTAGAGGGATATTTTTTTTTTATGTTTTTCAAAATTCCGAGGCATATTTTTGGACTTCAATAATCAATTGATAATTCTTATTGAGAGTCAATCCCTTTCCTAAAACGAAATAGTGAGATAAAAATTTCATAACCACACTTAACCGTGGGATGAAAAACAGGGAGATTTGACACACTACAAATTTTTCCCGAATTTTGATGCAAAAAATAATATACTTACAGCTGCCCAATTTCATATCACCGAAGAAAATAATACAGGTTTGGATAATCCAGTAAGCCAAAAGATGTTAGGCTCCAATGAGAGTATAATATCAATTTATTCCATGAGATAAAACCCTCTCTAGGATTAATTTTAGGATCTTAAATTTTGAGAATGTAACCCCTTTAACCCCATAGAAAAATTTAATTAAAAAAAATCTAATTTTACTTTCTATGCACTTGAAAAAATAAATTTTCAAAATTGAATAGAAACCATCCAATTTTTAAAGCATGAGATCCAAGTTTCGGATAACTCAAAATTCAATTTTTTTTTCTTTTGAAAATAAGCATATAATGATTATTAAGTATTTGGATTCATAAAATGTTTTGACAAAGTTTTATGTTGGTTGCACACTCAACACAACTCACATTCTTTACCATGGCTTGGGAAGATGTAAAAGAAAAAAAAAACCCTCACCTTTTTTAAACCAAATATGTTAAAAAAAAAAAAACTCACAAGTAGGTCTTTTGACCTAGGGAGAATATACACTATGTTCCTACAAGAACATAGTATACTCCCTCATCCAAATACATGAAACTCTTATACAAGACATAATGGGTCCATCAAGAGAATATTCCACCAAAAATTGATGCTATATACTCAGAACTACATGGCATCAATTTTACTCTTATGTTAAGTATTAAGTAGGTCTTTGAAATTTAATATAAAGTTCACATCCATGAGTTTGACTTATTACTGCCCAAACATCAAATATGCATATTCTATTGCCACCTGTCTATGCCCTTTTCTCCTTTTATCCATTATCTAGCTTCTTCGAGTGCAACACAGTTTATATGGTCTCGCGTGAGCAAATTATCCATTTGCTCCCTATGCTGAAACACTATATAGCAGTGCTATGAGGACTTGCATGTGACCAACCTTGCACTTTTCATAAAAACCCATTGTGTAGATTATAAGGATTATATACTGAAACTATTTGTCTTTATTATAAGTAGGTCACAATTATTTATAGCTATTAGATGTCAAATTTGATAGCAATGGGTTGAGAAATTTTTTTAAAATTTTGAGTTTGGTCAATGATATACACCGAATTTAAAATTTGATGGACATTATTGACTGTGACTTCCTTGTACTAAAAGTAAATGGTCACTTTTGTATATTTTCTTAAAATATAATGTTTCAAGATTGAATAGAGAGCATTCAAATCAGTAGACATTCAGATCTAGAAACTTCAAATATGTATTTAGAAAATGCTAATTCTAGTGTGTAATTACAATGATTTTCAAAATTTATGAGAAAAAATTTCATGAGCAAGGACTGCATTCTAATCAAACGCATCATGCAAGCTAAAGTTTTTGGCCAAATGTATCACATCACCAGCAATACAATTTATTATACTAAGTTATTGAACATTTCCAAATGTTAGTTATTTCCCATTTTGAGTTCAAAAGAGCTCCAATGTACACCAAGTGATGTACAACAATATAAAAATATACGAATATAGTTGTATAAACATAAGAGTGAATGCTTTCTTATTTATGTTATTCATTTGCAATAATATAGAGAAAAATTATATTCGTAGCATTTATGCTCTTAATTTACTATATTTACGAGGAAAATGAGATTCCTATTTATATAAATTGTTATCTTATACTAATAAAATAATAATATACAATCGTCGTCATCATCTGAGCCATATCCCAACTATTTGGGCTCGGTTACAATGATCATATTGTGCCACTCCGCTCTACTAAGGGCCATACCTTCAATTTCTCATTCTCTCCATTCTAATGGATTATCGATCCAATATATAAAAAATAATATCTCTTAGGTACTTATTGGGCACCAATCATAGATGTGGCAAAAGTTTTACTCTAATTACTAATATAACACGACCCACCTTTCTATAGGCTCAACATGGGCATGACCAGCTTGAAACTGTTGGGACCGGCAATGTGGAGTCAAAGAATAGTATGCAATATGCCTAGAATAATCTGCCTTTGAAATTACACCATTTACCTACCATGAATAATATAAACCCGGGGAAAGCCTATATAACGGGGTAACTTGCAAAAGCAAGGATGTAGTATTTTAGATTTCGTATTTCACAATTTATTATGAAGTTTGACCTTTGTCAATAGAATAAATGTAGTCATCTAAATTCACATCTATTGATTAAGGTTAATTGTGATTTACTTGTATCAAAGGCAAATGGTCTCATTGTAGATATGCGGGCTTCACAATAAATATATATTTTAAATATAATTTAATCCTAATTTTTAGAGAATATATAATATTTAACATGGAGACCATGAACATCAAAATAAAATAAAATTCAAAACTAGAAAATATAATTATATTAAAAAAACATTTGGACAATTAGTTACACTTGTTTTTATATGGACTACCTATATGCATCCATCTTTAAGATGGATACTTTATACCTCTAGACGGCATCTTTAAGTAGTACCATTTGAAAATTTAATGAAAAATATAACAACTTACCTCAAAAGATGAATATGTGAATTGAGCTTCATAGACCGGTGATATTAACTATATAAAAAGAACGCAATTACAAAAATATGAACATAGAGAACAATAAAAGTTAAATAAAAATAAAAATAAAATATTAATAGAAAAAATTATAGAAAACTAAATTAAAGTAATATAAAGTGACCCATTAACAAAATAAGTATAAAATATCAACAAAGGAAGTTAAAGCTAATATTTAAACATTGTGTAAGTCTACTCTACATATATGAGTGATTGGAGATGCTTTCTCTTTGGAATTCTTGGATTACTATCCCCATTGATGCTTTGCTATTCACATATAATGAAAGGCAAAGCTACTTGGCCCATAAGTTTAATATTGTATAAAAAATTTTATTTTATTCCCTTGGATGGTACAATTGGAATTTTTTTTTAAAAAAAAAATCCTTTAATTTGCTTTCTATGTGGCTATTATTCTCTGTCAGCACCTGTATTATTTCGGAGCAATTTACTGTATTCAATTATATACATACGATAAATGAATGTCATATTTATCTAAAATTAGATAAAACCTTATACACATGAAGCAAAATCTTCAATGATCTCGCTCCTTAATTTTCTCTCCATCTCCTTCTCACACGTATTTCTCTCCCATAAATCTATTTATTTTCTTTATTTTTTTCCATTTTTCTTTCTTTGCCCATATACTTTCTCTGTCATTGTCCTCTGCACGTTCTCTCTCACCCGGATTAGGCACCCTGGCTTTCTCTTTCTCCCCCACCCTCTAAAAGTAAAAAGATTTATCCCCACGACTTCTCTTTCTCCCCTAAATATGGTAAGCATTTTTTTCTGTCTTAAATATTATTTTCTTATATAAAAAAAGGTGCATACTAGAAAAGGGGTTGGGGTTATGGTAGTAGTATACCCACACCCAGTTACTACATCATGGTATCCATTCATACTGTTGAAACCCCCAATACCTTCAAAATGTAACTCCCCAATCTATTAAAAAAATGGGTAGGGGCCTACCTTCCATATGTAATTTGTCTCTCAAAGATGAAAATGTATCCTACAATATTTATAGAACTTAGGACCCTTCTTATTTTACTCTCTCTCTCCCTCCTAAATAGATATGCAATTCGTCTCTCAAAAATGAGAATGTATCCTACAATATCTATAGAACTAGGGCACTTCTTATTTTCGCCATACGTGTTCACTCCTTAACAATAAGGTACATCCCATCTCAACTGTACTTGTTGTGGACTGCTTTGATACGTTTTGCTTTGCATGTCACGAAATATTTTGCCATTGACAAACTCGAGCAAAACAACTGTCCATCTCCACCGTCCCTTGGTATCAAAATACAGTCGAGATCGCTCAAACATATTTATATAATACAAGTCGCATGATCCACTACTCCAATGTACAATTTACCCAAAGTATATATACTCAGCTATGTAGGACTGGTTATGAAAAATGTAGGCCCAGGCTAAAAAAACTTGCCCCATAAGCCGAGCCCCACCCAACCACTCTAGCTCGAGCACCATGCCTAGTCTAATGTTTTCTATATATATATAAATATTCAGGGTGGGAACCCTACACATGAAGTTAGATGAACCTCAGGAACCCACATGAAGTGGTGGTTTTTGATGTGGAAATTCTTCAAACTTATTTTATAAGCTTTGAGATTTATAGATATGGAAAAACAAACAAAATAAAGTATTAAAAATACTGCATATTGTAATATATTATCTAGATCATCTATTTTCACGATTTTAAATAATTTATAGATTTGTTTGATATGCATCAATTTATTGAACTTTAAATTTCATAATAAGAGGCAATGTTTTTGATACCGGTATCGATGGGGTGGATCGTCCACCACAGAAAATTGTTTTGAATCGTTTAATTGCCAATCTAGTATGCATGAATCCGGAAAATATTAAAAATAATAGAAAATAAGTAGTTTAAAATAGGGGCTCATGGGTCGGGATTTTGAGGGGACCTATGAAAATATTACGTAAGCTTCAAACAAAAAAAATAAAATTATGAGGGACGGTCCTAGTAAATCCCCAATGTGGATCGGTAATTCCTGATCTAGACCAATGGGTTTTAAAATATCTAAAAAAAATAAAAATAAAAAAAATGAAGGGATTTTATAGAGAACCAACCCAGAACCAGTACCTTGATGGAACTAGTTTGGTCCTAGCTAATTCTCAATCCAGATCTACGATTCTCTATCTAGACCATTGGATTTTAAGTCACGGATAGATTTGCTCGATATGTAGCATTTATGGAATATTAAATTTTATAACTAAGTTCAAATATAGATTTTCAATAATCACAAGGTTTTTGACATTTGAATTGATATCTGGTCAAAATTTAGTGGTGCACCTTAATTCCACTATAGAAAGAGGCAACCTTACGTAAACCTCAACCCATAAATAAATGAGAAATATCACTAAAGGAGATAAAACCCCTCAAAATATTATTAAAAAAATCAAATTATCCTTACTAAAATTTTAGGGCATGGTTTCAAATCATCCTTATTAGCATTCGAGGAGGTGGTTTTTTTTTTCATTTAACTCAGATATCTCCACAAAAAGATATCTTTAGAATAACAAAATTACCATTATTTAGTATTTAGAAAGAGGAATAATGAAAGGTATTTCAATGATTTGACCTATGAAGCCTCACCTGAATAATGAAAATACCCTTAGTTGTTCTATATTACAAATAAAGAAGGTTTTGTTTAGCATTTGTGATACAGAACAATCAGAGATATTTTTATGATTTTACACTTAAATACTTTGCATAGACAATCATCGTCATCCAAACCTTATACCTTAAATGCCTTTGAGATATAAAATGCCAAAAAATAACTCTAATTGTTATGTATTACTAATATACAATGTTCCTTATTTATAATACATAATGAGATGAGGCCTCATGGCTCAAATTATTGAAATGTCCCTCATTCCAAATATTATATAATAATAATTTGGTATTTTTAGAAGAAATTTTTAAAAAGGTGTCCGAGTGAAATGGGATAAAGAAAACCCTCAAATGCCCCTTTAATAATATTTTAAGGGGTTTCATTCCCTTTAATAATATTTCCCCTCAATAAATTTTGAGGCCTGGGGTTTTATCAACAAAGCCCGAACTATACACGTGTGTATGCATACCCACAAAGACACTTCCTATACACGTGAAGCGGACGGGCACGGAAAGCGGATATTTTAAGAGGTTAAAAAAATGAGCATTTTATAGGTCGGTTCGTAAGTGGGGCCTGCGTAAATTGCACCACCTCGTCTAATCCCAAACGCTTTTTGATCCACTCGTTACATATCGAACCAGTTCCATCTCCCTAGAATCCAGGGTTTTTTTCTCTCTAGAAACTGGGGTTTTCTAGCGCACCAGTATCGTCTTCTTTCTGCTCGAACCACAGCTTTCTAGGGTTCCTACTTTTCACGCCATAGAACACCTGCAAACTAAATCCGTCATTCTTCTGCGAATTTTTTGTGAATTCGTAGTTTTTTTTTTTTTCCAGGTGAACTCGGTTTGAAATCGAGGATTTTAGCTCACGCGCGTCGAGTTTTCAAGGGAATTTTCCTTCGTTATGGGTACCTTCAAGTGAAAATCTTCATCTATTGTTGATTTCTTTGCTGGTGTGGACTGGTTTTTGGGTTTTCTGGGGTTTATGGTGGTCATTTACGCTGTAAGTTGTGATGGGATAAATCAATTGGAGTTTTTGATAAGAAGAAAGAAGAGGAACTATGGAGTGGGATAGTGATTCAGAGCCGAGTGGAGAGGAAGAGGGGTTTTTGTTGAATGATGGTGGGCCTCTTTCATTCACTATTGGGAGTTTACTCCATTCCTCTCCCTGTGGATTTGTGGTCACTGATGCTTTTGAACCAGATCAACCTATAATTTATGTGAATACCGTGTTTGAGCTGGTTACTGGTTACAAGGCGGAGGAGATTCTCGGAAGGAATTGGTGAGTGTTATGTTGTTTATAATGATTACTTCGACTTAAAATATTGTAGTTCAGTATTTGGTGGTTTACTATCTCAAAAAATATTTGGTAATTTTTGTCTTGCATTCTGAAAATGCAAAATATCTCTTTCACATTTACTCGCTATTTGTTGTTTCTTTGCACGTATAAACCATTTCTTGTGGGTTTAGTACTGATGACAATTGTACCATCAAGGGGCATGATACGTCGTTTTGTGAGAACTCATCTAGTAATTTTAATGTTGTGCCTGATTTTCTCTTAATTTGTTTTCAATGTGTTTTAGGTTCCATTAGATGACTAATGGACTTTCCTTTTTAATCATTTGACTGATTTATATTATTTGCATGATTATGCACCTCATCTGCTCTTTCTATGCTTTTTTGAACTGTATTTCAACCAAGAAATTTAGAATTTTTAACTAGATTTAGTTTTATGACATAACCTCATTCACACGAGTGTGCCAAAATAAAAAATAAAAAATGAACCACCTGTTTTTAGCATCCTTTTCATGCTTCAAATTCAATTTATTGCTTTGTCTCAAGCCTGCCTGTTGGGCAGTGCTGCCTGCTGGGCAGTGTTGCCTAGAGATGTAGTCCCTCCCGTTTATCGTGTGTTGACTCGTGTTGATATTTGAAGACATGTATATTCAAAGGCTTTTTTATTATAGAGCCCCAAGCATGAATTTCGAACTCATGATCTCTAGTGAAGAGGAAGTAAAGTCTACCACCTTTAGAGTTATACGTGCATAGACAAATTATGCATATTATTTATGAGATTGACTACAAAGAGACCATTTACCTTTTGTATAAGTTGGTCACAATCACTCTCAACTATTCCCACTTATTACATGTCAAGTTGGATGGCTTGGGATGAGTCACGAAATCCAAGAAATTTTTGATTGAAACTGTGTCTAATCAATGACACTTGCGACCACCCATTTTGAAATCTAAGGGACAAGAATGATTGTGAGCTCCTTGTACAAAAGGTAAATGGTCTCTTTGTAGACAATCCCATTATTTATTATAGAATATTGTAATGAGTTATTTAATAAGTATTAAGTAACATAATGTAATACAAAACTTAATTCTTGGGTTTTGAACTGGCCCTTCTTCATAGAAAGCAGCAAGCACTACTGCTCCAAACATCAGCATGCGGTGCTAAAATTTACGTAGATTGTATTACAGAAAACCAGTAATCAATAGAACATAATGTGCATGGACGTGTCTTGCAATATCTGAATTTTTGAATGAAGAAACTAGATATGTTCGACACCTGTGGCATTCGCATAGGTACCCTTGTAACACTGATATTGGGTCATTCCACTTCTCACTGATATTGCGTCATTCCACTCCTCTTGTACTGTTTTTCCCAAGAGAAGCCTCATTGTTTGGAAGGTGTACTATCTGGCCATACATTGGGCCATTGGGGTAGATATAATTGATGGATCAACATGATTGAGGATAGAGCTTGATTGCTTGAGTGATCGGGAATACACTAGGGATTTTGTGTTTTTGCAGGCTCTTAGCCGAGAAGAACCATTTAGTTTCTAAAACCAAATAACCTTTCGAGGGTTGGAAGCCTGGAGGCAACATTGTCACTATTACAGATAAACTTAGGATAACCATTGAAACAAAAAAGGAGAAAAAAGAAAAAAGAAAAAGAAAAAGGAGATAAAACTTGGATGCTGGTGACCATACCGCATAACGAGATAAGACTTAGGCCCTTTTGAGCCAAACTACCAATCTTATCCCCTGTGGCCAGTCAATCAGTCAGTTATGATTGTGGCCTCAGGGGAAACCTGTAATGGATTATTTTCGAGACATCCATGACAAAAACTTGCTGACCTTCATAGGCCTTTGGTTATCCGAGACTATGTGAATGCTAAAGATAGAGGTCTTCAAGATGCAGGGTGGTTCTTTTATTTTCCTTGGTTCCTTGATTATGGAAGATGACTTGTTTAACATGGTAATGTAGGAATATAAATTCCATCTGGAGATAAGATTGTGGAAGAGACATTGAAGCCAGATGACATATAAAGTAGCTTCCTTCTTATATGTTAGAGAAACTAATGCGAAGAATTCCATTTGTTTAGACATTTACCATTGCTTTCTTTTAATTATCCTTTTTTTTTTTTAGAATTTTTTTTCTTAATCCCTGCTATCTGTTACGGAGTCAGGACACGCAATTCAAATGAAGAAAGCTGATTTTTCTAAGGAAGGTTAAGAGGCATATAGGCCACACACATATTAGCAGGTTGTACACGCAAATTGTTTTTATGGGTAGAATTCCAGACTAGGTTTGATTGGTTACAATGTTGATAATCGCGACATTATTTTATTTATTATTTTGGGGGAGTATTACTGGATGTTGTTTGAATCCCACCACTGACTTGCCTAAAACAATTCATATTTTAAGGGTTTCTTTTGTTGAGAGAAGTTTGACTTGTATTGATATAGTAATAATTAGTAATTGACTAGTTACACGACCTCGTGAAGTGTCAATCTAGTGAGAGACAACCCATGTGTCAGGTGCCACTATAAAACAGTCTCATTTTAAGGAGTTTTAGCGATTAATTGAATGCCTTATTTTTAATAGGTTTTAGGTGTTCTTCTTGTTTTGTTACATTTATAACGATAATTTCATGGATGTATTTCCCGTTATCCCTTGTCAACTTTTAGGGCCGAGTGACTCTCACTACCCTTTTCTTGCTGTCTATATGACACTAGGACACTAGGTTTCCCAAAGTAACCACCATAAAAAAGAGCCACCATTGAATTGTGTTGACTGAAGGATTATTGTAAAATGGGATGAAAATAGATTTGATACTCGATTGTTTGTGGGTACGTTACCCTGGAAAAGTCATATTTGGCTGGTTTCTTGGTCAGTTTTTGCTTGTAACGGAGGTTGTTAGCACTGTTTAGTGGCTTTGGAGGATATTTGCATATGTTGCAATAGAGGGCTCAGGAAGATAATCGAGTTTGATGGGTTTAGTGTTACTAGCCAAAATGTACTGCAAGCTTTTAATTTGAGGGATGCGCAACTCGGGATGTGGAATGTAGAATGGGGGTTTTTTGGGAAGGGGGGGGACTGTGGGGGTGGTTGTGAGTGGTGTCTTTGTTGGTGAGCTGATGTGTCGATGTTTGGGTTCCAGTCTTACGATAGTGTTGTACGAGGAATATCTAGTGCATTGGTTGTTCTATGTGGGGATTTTGTCTGACCATTAGTAAAATGGTGATATGGCTGCTGGGTTTTTGTTTTTCCAGGAAGGATGCTGGAACAACTTTTCATTTTCAGATGGTCATGGGTTTCTAGTTGAAGGCTGGTTGTTTTCTAGGATATCAATGTCGTTTAAGCTTTTAGGGTGCTCTTTTTGAGGCCATTCTAAAGAGTGGTAGGCTTCGTCCTTTTCATTTCTGGGAAGCATGTTTTAAATATTCATTTTTTTGAGTTACTGGTAATTTTCTTTTGGATATGTAGGGCAACTGCATCCTTTGAGGCATTGAATGGAGAACTCCTGTGATCTTTGTGCTGATATTTTGTCTCTTTTTGATGCGTGTTATATTTTTGGAGGCATGCATTTTTAGCGATAAAAAAAAAGAAAAAAGAAAAAGAAAAAAGAAAAAGAAAAAAGAAAAAGAAAAAAAAGATGTGCCATGCATGGAGGTGTTTGTATCTCTGTTTTCTTGGGACTATCTCCTGCTCCTGTTTCTTTCAAGTTGGTCGAATAAGTCTAAGTTGGAATGTTGTAGAACCTGCTAGGCTGATCTCATAGGTGGAGTTACTCTCTGAGGAAATTTAAAACTGTCCATTACTTTAGATCTCTGTGTAACTGGGACTTCGATTATGGATGTTTGCCGTGTCAGAAAGTCTTTATGTGGTTGAGGAAAGTGAATTTGATGCTGTTTGAGTCACATTGAAAATTTTTTACGCGTTAGGCAGGTGGTGTTTGAGGTTCTTCGGATTAGTCATCGTTATTGGGAGGCTTATCTCGCTCTGGTGTTAAGCATGCATGCCTGCATATTGTGGGTTTGTCATTGGATTTAACATACCTTTGGTATTGAAGACGGTTCACATTTGTTATGCTGTTGGCCTGTGGCATGTCCATAAATAAGAAAATATGCTTAATTGTGCATGTTCAACGAATTATTGTTGGATGATAATTTATTCTGGTATCCTGGGCTGTGAATTATTAGAAAATTTATGTCTTATGCAAAAACTGATAATTAATTTGTTTAATGGTTATTTTTATAAGATACTTAATGGATTAGTTTTTTTCCAATAAAATGTTCAAAGAATTTTATTAAACTAACCACTTGCTATACTATGACCGGTCCCTTGGAAGTGTTTGTTGGTTGAATGGATGGTAAATTGAGTTAGCAATAAGATTTTGGTAAGTCAATTAATAAGAGTAATGAAATTTCAATGTAGCAGAAATTTAAGGAGAATAGATGGCCATAGTTCTCAAACCAGATGGTGCACAAAATTTTCAAGCTGCACCTGCAAAGCCCCTCTAAATTATCTAGTTCCCCAGCCATGCATTTCCTTGGCCTTTCTGCATTCTAGTTTCTTACCCCTCATGGACTTCAGCCGTTATCATTTAAACTTGCTGGCTGACAAGCCCACTTCCCCGTCCCCTCCTTAACCCCACCTCACCCACCACAGACACAAACACACACATGTACCCAAAAAAGGAGGGTAAAAGATTAAAGAAGTGTCCTCCACCCCCTCTGTATGAGACCAGCAGCCCGTATGAGATCAACATCCCGTCTTCACCTTCTGTGGTCAGCATTCCTCACTCCAGTAGTGCCCTTCATGAATCATTGTTTCCGAAATATGGCCGCTTTTCTAATTTCCCTGTGGCTAGTTGTGGCCACGTGATCTCACCATTGACACACCCTGTGACCCCCCACATGAGCCATTTCAGGTTTTAGTTATCTTTAAGAGTGTACCTGTGAACTTGACCTTTTTTTTTTTTTGGATCTATGATACATGATCTTACTGTTTTATAAATATTGCATGTGAAACTCCTATGACACCTTCTGTTTATTTGCTTTCCATTCCTCTTTCTTCTCAATTATATTGTAGCTTGGGAAATCCTCTGAAGCTCACTTTGGAAGTTTGGAGCTACGACACCATTTGTTGAAAAATGTCCTTTTATGTGGTTACTTGAAAGTTGAGCCCACTCTCATACTTGTTATAATTACTTTTGATAATGGGAATCCTCTGCAGCTTGCCAGAGATTTAGAACTAGTTAAAGCAAAGGCAATGTGGTTAATAAAACTCTACATTATTTTGTTCCTGCAGTCGCTTTTTGCAATGCAGAGGGCCATTTGCTCAAAGGAGGCACCCGCTTGTGGACCCTGTGGTTGTTTCCGAAATCAGGAGATGCCTTGACGAGGGTGTTGCATTCCAAGGTGACTTGTTAAACTTTAGGAAAGATGGATCCCCTCTAATGAACAGGCTACGTCTCACTCCCATATATGGAGATGATGGTATCATAACCCATGTAATTGGCATCCAATTCTTCACAGAAGCAAACGTGGATTTGGGACCCTTACCCTTCTCCTCTCTTGCAAAAGAATCGAAAAGACCAACAGATCGCTTCCTTTCTGACCTTTCCTTTTATAGACCCACTTCATTAGGGCATGGAAATGCTGGCCGTGAGATTTGTGGCATTTTTCAACTAAGCGATGAGGTCTTATGTCAAAAGATCCTTTCAAGGCTAACCCCAAGAGACATAGCATCAGTGGGCTTAGTGTGTAAGCGACTTTATTTGTTAACAAAAAATGAGGACTTATGGAGGATGGTCTGCCAAAACGCATGGGGAAGAGAAACAACCAGTGTCATAGAAACAGTTCCTGGTGCTAAGAGGTTGGGGTGGGGACGCTTGGCTAGAGAGCTAACTACTCTTGAGGCAGCAGCATGGAGGAAGCTAACAGTTGGTGGTGCAGTCGAGCCCTCTCGTTGCAACTTCAGTGCTTGTGCAGTGGGCAACCGACTTGTTCTCTTTGGAGGTGAAGGAGTTAATATGCAACCAATGAATGATACCTTTGTATTGGATCTCAATGCTAGCAAACCAGAGTGGAGACATGTAAAGGTAAGTTCACCACCTCCTGGTCGATGGGGTCACACCCTTTCATGCTTCAATGGGTCATGGCTTGTGGTCTTTGGTGGGTGTGGAAGGCAAGGCTTGCTCAATGATGTCTTCATACTCGACCTTGATGCTCAACACCCAGCTTGGCGTGAGGTCTCAGGGTCTGGCCCCCCTATTCCTAGGTCATGGCATAGTTCTTGCACTCTTGATGGCACAAAACTTGTAGTTTCAGGTGGATGTGCTGATTCTGGTGTTCTCTTAAGTGACACTTTCTTATTGGATCTCACTATGGAGAAACCCACTTGGAGAGAGATACCGGTAACTTGGACACCACCCTCTCGGCTAGGCCACTCTCTCTCTGTCTATGACGGTCGGAAGATCTTGATGTTTGGTGGGTTGGCTAAGAGTGGTCCTCTTCGATTGCGATCTAGTGATGTGTTTACTATCGACCTGAGCGAAGAAGAGCCTTGTTGGAGATGCATAACAGGTAGTGGAATGCCTGGTGCTGGTAACCCTGCTGGTTCAGCCCCTCCTCCTAGGTTAGATCATGTTGCTGTGAGCTTACCTGGTGGGAGGATTTTGATTTTTGGGGGTTCGGTTGCTGGTTTACACTCAGCTTCTCAGCTCTATCTATTGGACCCAACTGAGGAGAAACCAACATGGAGGATTTTGAATGTGCCTGGTCGACCCCCACGATTCGCTTGGGGTCATAGTACATGTGTAGTTGGGGGCACGAAGGCTATAGTTCTTGGTGGACAGACTGGAGAAGAGTGGATGTTAAGTGAGTTACATGAATTGTCATTTACTAACTCGGTTGTATGATAGATATATTGGTAGAGTTGAGTATATGAGAGTTAAGATGGCCATCTTGGCCTTGGTTCAAGATATGATCAGATGATCATGCTTCTTGGTCATTTAGAGAGATAAGAAATGAGGATTTGAAAATTTATAGAGTGCGTTCATGGGGTTTATGGATGTGTTTTCATTTCATTATTTTCTTGATCATGAAGTGAGTAGTCAATATGGAGAGTGTCATACTTTCATCATGTTTCTCAATGCATTCTAGTGGGATGAAATGCTCGGTCTTTCATGATGAAGGTTTGGAATGAATGTGTTATGAGGCTTCGATGCTCATCGGTTAGTGCTGCAGGTAGCGATGGTTCGTAGATTTATGGTCAGGTTTCTCTCTCTCTCTCGCTCTCTCTCCAATTTTCTCTCTTTTTATTTTGGTGTTCTGTTTAAAGTTGAGCGTGTGTATATTACTCGAGTACTACACCGTACATTGCTCGCTTATTTGTTTGCGTTGTGTGTTCTATCTGTTGTTTATGGATTAAATGAAATGGTTCTCATGTGTCTCATGGGAGTTTGTTTGTTTCGTGTGCTTTAAACTAACCCATTTCTGTTACTTTCTCTGACTGATATTGTTGCCTAAACTTTAAATTTTGAGCAAGATGGTAACTGAGCTGATTTGTAGGTAAATGTGAAAGCCTGTATGTGTGGCACTTGTTTCCATGTACAAGTGGGTTACTAGTTTACTTCTCAGTTTTCAGATTGGATGGCCTGGTTATTTTAATGATGCTCTCCTCCTAGGGCTCAACCCTAGATAGACGGTGGAAACTACTAAGCGGAGCTTTGTTTTGAGAGCAAATTTCTTTTCACCTTCCCACCTCCGGAAAAAAAAGGATAAGGGAAAATATCATTGTATGTTGAAACCATTTCAAAAATTCAAAGGTAATCAAATCATCTAATTTATCAGCGAAGTGGTCACTCAACTTCTTCATTGGTTCGGTCAAAAAATGGCCTTGTTTTGGGTTCGGAGTCTTGAACATACAAATGGTATTTCAGGAAATTGACCTATAATATAAGACCGCAGCTAGAGTGCTTTCAAGGCCGCCTATAGTGATGAAAGTGTAAGGGCGTGTAATTGATCGTACACAATGATCAATGATATTTTCTCAAACTTTGTGCATTGTTCTTAGCGTCTAAAATTCAAATCAAATAGATAGGAGATATGATTGTGAGCTTTTGAACTAAAAGTAAATGGTCTACCTTCTTTTATTTTATTCACATTAATAATTTTTTAAGTTAGTTCCACCATTTTAATTGACATTTACTAATTGATATTTTATTAAATAAAAATAAAAATAAAAAAGGTTTTGAAGAAATAGATAAGGTGGCGGTGAGTATCAGACGATTTTAGTTGCATTTTTACTGCAGGTAGATAATATTCTCTAATAAAAAAAAACTGAGAATCTTGTTAAAAGTTATATTTGGTTGATTGAATATTCTTTAAATCAACAGCCATGACTTTGGCTGCATTTCTAAGTTTCAATCTCACTGCCTTTAGAATGAATAATTGTCATTTGGTAAATGCTTTTAACATGGGTAAGATTGATTAAGGTGAAAGGCACAACGTCATTGGCTAGCTTCACTTATTTTAGAAGTCAAGTAGCTCCCGCGACCCTAGTCACCTGATTTCCATTCTTACTACTATTTTCAAAAAGATAATTCTTTCCATTCTTACTAATATTTTCAAAAAGATAATTCCTAGTTTACTAGAGAAAAAAAAAAAAGAAAAGAAAAAGAAAAGAAAAAGTGCTTTAGAATAAGTCATTAAGTTGAAAGGCGAAATATCATTGGGCATTTCACTTTAACTTAGGGAGAAGTGTTTTTAGAAACTGCGGATCTCGACAAGGAATTGGGGACCTGCATTGGAAATGGTTAGGACTGACGTAGTTCGTAGTTAGAATTGGGAATCTGTACAAGTTGATAGGCTTAAATTGCTATGTCAGAGGTCAGAGGTCTGTTAGGGAATATTCTTACCCTTTTTATTGTTAAAATCTTTTTTTCAAATTTTAAACTTTTTAAATTCGAAATTATTATTTGACATTTTTGGCACCAATTTGTGCAACGAAGAATCGATCAGATGGAGGATCCAGATTAATCCAATGGGGGAACTGTTTAAGACAAAGTATGCTATATAGCATTTCAATTTCAAATGAGATTCTAGTAGCTTTTAAAAACCAGTGCTTTAAAACTTACTAATCTAGATCGGGAATCACTTATCTGTACTGAGAATTGGTCTAGATCGAATTAGTCTCCGCCAAGTTTCCAATAACACACACATAAACAAACACAAGCCTACACCTACAGATCCGATTTTTTTTTATTTTTTTATTTTTAAAATTGTCGATTCAGACCAACCCATATGGATGATCTAACACAGATAGGTGGGCTAGACATCCACCGATCCTGTCAAGTTCTGAAACATGGTTTCAAATTGTCCACTGTGAGTATCTTCAGTTCTAAAAAAGACAATGTTTTGAGGGAGATGTCTTAGGTTTCCTTTAAAGATGATAGAGAGAAAAAATGTTGGTTTTCCTAATTTCTTGTTTTTAAATCCAACATCTAATTGTATTTAATGTCATTAGACTGAATTCTTTTGAAGAAATTTTTTATTAGCAACTCTATATCATTCATTGAAGGGTGTGGTCTGCAACTCTATGTCATTCATTGAAGGTTGTAATCTTAAACAATTAAATTAGGGCACGCTTCCAAATTTTATTATAATTATAATTTTGGTGTAAAAAATTCTTAGTATGGTTTGAGAATCTATTTTCATCGCTAATTATAAAAATTTAATCTTCAAAATGGGTCAAATTAAGTAGATCTATAAATACTTGAAAATCATGAAAATAGACGGTCTAGATAATGTGTTGCAAGATACACTCTTTTTAGGAATCAAAATCTTGTTTCTTTTCATATTCATACATTTCGACGTTGAGATGATCAATTAAAGGGCTTTCTAACATTAAAACAACATTTTATAATAGATTTTCGAAATGTACCTTAATTCTACCTTTTGCACCCTTATATGAACTTTTTTCCTTCTTTGAAAAATGAACTTTTATAGCCTCGTTGAACTAAAACCTTATCTCTAGGCACTTTCGGCTTTTTCTTCATTATAAACAGTCAAGAGGACCTCACCCACATGAAAAAAGTATGAAAATATCTTCAAATACCTGATGTGTGCGGCACTCATTTCCAAAAAGTGCAGTAGGAAAGAGAGGCTTTTTCTTTTTTCGGAGAATAGTCATTTACTTTCCATTAAACTGAAAATAATACAAGAGGAAGGGGAGAAAGAGAATAGAATGGTATAGGGTCCGGTTTGTAGGTGCCCTCTAATTTGATTGTTTAGAGCCTCAATCTCGGCATAGAATGTGGTGACCACTAACTATATGCTTGTGTGAGACCCAAAAATCTCAAATTTTGGAGATAGAACTTACCACACTAGTAGCCAATATCAAAAAATAGAAAAAAATTCTATACGTAGTTAAAAGAATAGGGCAAGCTTTCTGCTTCTCCTACGACATAAAACTCATATACTTCCGCTAATCCAACCATCCATTTTGAATGGAGGGCTAAGATTGCTCCAATCACAATGTCACATCTCTACACTATTTTATTTTTAATTATTTTTTTATAAACTATTTTGATACCAAATTTTGGACGTCCAATCTTCAATTAAACTCGCATTAGCAAAAAATATTAAAAAAATATTTTCAATAAAATAAAATGACCAAAATACCTTTGAAAGATTTAAGGGGTATTTTGATCATCATATTTTATCGAAAAATTATTTTTAATATTTTTTATAGGTACGTCCCAATGAGAAGATGCAACGTACCAAATTTCACATTCATACAATTTGTATAAAAAAATAAAATAAATATGAGTGACTCTCTTGATCAAAATTGAACAGCTGCCTGGTAAGGGAACCATAGATCTTCTATGCCGTAGGAGAAGTATAAAAACCTTTCCCAAAAGAATATTGTCTTAAGGTTAAAAAATGGTCATCCAATTTTTGGACGACTAGATCACAATGTTTGATAACTCAAAATTCTAATTTTTTTTTTTTTAATTTTTTTTTGTAGCATTCCTCTTATGATTTTAAAGTGGATCTCAAAATTTGTAAAATTTTTCTGGGCTGTGCGTTTTTGCCCGGAGTAAATTGAACACCATGGCATCATCATCTGGTTATTATTAAAAAAAAGAAAAAAAAGTGCAACCTAAATGATAAAAGGAAAATTTTTATACAAGGGTAAGGCCCTCCTAAATAATAAAATTGAGGTGCCCATAGAAAAATTCACTAAGTTATTTTGAAGCTGAAAACCCTCACTTCGATGTCTCGACCTCTATATCTATCTACATGAGAAAAAATAGATTTCAAGCTTTGAAATAGTGCAGCATGTAATGTATTATCTAGACCATCAATTTTCATGATTTTTAAGTGTTCATAGATCTACCCGATCTATACTATTTTTTAATCTTTAAATTTATAAAAATAAATTTTAAGGCCATCATAAGGATTTTTGATATTAAGACAACATATTTTGGCACTATTCTGAACGTGCCACTTACTTTAATTGTTTAGGGCCTCATCCTTATACAAACCATGATAAAATGCATTGTATAAATCGTAATAATACTTATATATAACGGTTAAGTCATGCTAGTTAGATGGAAATGTAAATGATCCAATCACTAGGATGGAAAAAGCTTATACAAAGTTGTAACTTTAAAATGTAGAATTAAAATACATCTAAAAAATCCATCACAAAAGGTGGTTTGGATATTAGGAAACCGTATCAAGATTGTCTTAGTTTATAATATTAAACTCAATCTATCACATGGTTTCTTTCAATATATTGGTCTAAATCATCTTTCGAAGAATTGAAAAGGTATCGATAACAAATATGAACATACCTTGCAAAACTAGATATCATAATTACTGAGACTAATAGACCAGTTGGATTGTTGATCGATGCTATAGCAGGTCTGATCCAAAATAAAAATCATGTTTGGTTGAAAATCAGTCAAAATTAATATTAATTAGTTTTGGTCGGTCACGCTAGCAAGTTTTAACTAGTTCAACCGTCAAAAGATTGGGTGAATTTTTAAATATATTTTATATTTTAAAATTATGATATTTGTTTTATTTTTATTTTTTTATAAAATCTAATCTAACAAGTTTAACTAGTAGTCAAATCAGTTTTGAATGGACCACATACGTCCAATCCGATCTTAATAATACTGTTGTACTTATTGACACTAAAGTTGTCAATGAGCCAAGACGTGCGTATGATATATGCACTATAAACTATAATTCAATGTTTGTAAAATGGATTAATGGGCTGGATCATCCACTCACCAATTCCTAGTATGATAATCGATTTGGATGGGTTTGAATTTGAGATTTGAAAAAAATAAAATAAAAAAAATTTCAAAAAAGAGTTTGTAAGTTATGATCTAATAAGATACCTAATCTAACGTTACAAAAGATATATATATATATATCAAAGGGGAGTATATGAGGGTATTGGATAGTCCTATAAATAATGTATCTTGTATGGATTAAGTCTTAAAAATAATGCATATTGTAAAGAGTTATTTGGACAATCTATTTTTTAAGATTTTAATTTAGAGATCTATTCGTTCTTTACGATTTTTGAAATTTTAAATTTTATAAACTTAGATAAAAACATATTTTCAAACTATAATAAAATTTCTGTACTTGAACTACATCTCTAAACAAATTTTAAAACATGGGTGCATTTGATAATAGAATAGAATATAGGGTATTTTAAAGTGTTTCTAAGAAGGACACGATTTTCATGAGTTCTAGGACTTATAGGTAGAAATGCGTCCTATGTTTCACGATCTATTTTTGAGATAGATTTTGGAGTTAATTTTTTAGGTATATATAATATCTAACATGTAGAATATGAATTTGTAAAAAGATAAATATAATTTTTAAAAACTAAAAAGGCGAACTTTTGAAGAAAAATTTTAAATCGTTAATTTTACATTTTGGTGTAGTTTGTATAAGGTTGCAGCCTAATTATAAAATTTTAAATTTCAAAAGTAATTCAAATCAAGTCGATCTATAAACACATGAAAATATTGAAAGTAGATGGTCCAAATAATATTATACAAGATGTACTATTTTTAAGACTTGAAATCTTTTTATTTTCCCATATTCATAATCTCGACTTTGAGATGATTAATTAGATGGTTTTCCAACATCAAAACAGTTTTTAAAGATGGATTTTTGAGGCGCACTATAATTCTACGATTTAAGGTGTAAATGTTATATAAATTTTTCCTTTACATGTTATGTAAATGTTATATAAAGTTAGCATGGATCTCTAGAAAAGTTATCATATGGGTGTCAGACTTGACTTTTCTATAGATCCATATCAATTTTAACGGTGATTTTTTAGGGTCCTACACACATGGGTGGAGAAGATCCTATAGGATTATTACTCTTTTTTAAATCTTGAAAATAATACAAATGTATTACGTAGATCGTTAATTTTGAAGATTTTCGAGTGTTCATATATCTTCTCGATCTATACTATTATTTAATATTTAAATCTTATAACTAGAGATAAAAATAAATTTTTAGGTGACATAAAATTTTTTAATATTAAAACGACTTATTTCGGTACTATATTTGAAGGGGACGCCTTCTTTGATTATTTAGGACCTCGGCCTTTTACAAACCACACCCTCTATAAATAGCACACGCTAGCTTCCACTCGTGAACAAGTTGACCTCACAGTGCGGTCACTGTGACATGCCATGTTCACGCGCACAAATTCCTTGCTCCCAACCCACTCAACCCATTTTCTCTCTCTAAATTATCTCAATTGTAACCCTAATTCTATACGCATCTCAAATGGAACCCTAACTCTTCTGTTCTGTTCAAAGGCCACTGTTTTTCTTCAAAACCAGTTGTTCTGGTTTTGGTTTTTCTTTTTCTATTTACTGCAAATTTTCTGTCTTGGTTTTTCTTTTGCAAATTCAGATTTTTTTAGCCATGGAAGCTAGGAAAAACCCACCTCCTATGATAGGAAAGGCAGGTAGATACACAGTGTTTATCACCCCTCCAAAACAACCCCAGAATGCTGAAGAATATCCGAAGGTGCCCCCAGTTCAGCCTCCTCCTCAGCAGTTTGATAAGAAACAACCATTGCAATCTTCAAGCTCCCCATTTTCTTTTGTTTGGAACACTGTTTCCAAGATCCAAACTGGTAATTTCTCTGATGATCTCTCTCTCATTGTTTGGTTATTTTGGTCCTTATTTCTATTTATTTTTTTCGAAACAGTATCGAGTATGGTGTATGGACATTTTTGTTTCTGATTTTTCTAGTTGGGTATGATGAATGGCCATTGTTGTTATTGAATTTTCAAGTCTAATGATGTGGTTCCTGAAGATGGTTTTATTAGTGGCTGTTTGTTTTATTTTAGGGAAAGTTATCACAATAACCGTAATATATGACTTGTTTCACATTTTACCCTTTCATGTTGATTTAATTTTAAAATACACATAAAATGATTCATGATCATGATATGGGATAGTTCCAAAAGGGTAACCGGTTAAAGAGTTCATCTCTTATGGGTAGTATGATAAATTTTACTCTATTTTATTTTATTTTATTTTTGGTCTAGTGTTTGTCTGTCAGGATTTTGATGCAGTTTTTGGCCTTTTCTCAGGTTTTTATTTATTTATTGGTTTTCTCTTTTTATTTTGGCATTTTGGTGGGTTTTATCCTGTTCTTTGAGAATTTCTTATATCTTATTATTTTTGAAGTTTCCATGATTGGTGGTCTGATGCCGGAGGTTCTTTAGTTCTTTACTGTGTGATTATTTTCTGAGTTTTAATGTTTTCATCTTTTACCCAATTTGGCATATTTGTTCACTTTTATTTTTTATATTTTCAATTTTCCTCTGTATTTTATATTTCCAAAAAAAATGTTCCTCTGTATTTTTATTGGTTTTATGGCATTTTGCAGTACATTCTAGCATTGATGAATGCCTGGCTGACTGGTTTGGCTTGAACCAGTCCAAGTATCAATGGGCTCTGAATGAGTACTATGAGAGCAAAGGACAGGTGAACCAATTCCCCTTTTATTTTACTTTCTCTGGTTTAGCTAACAACACTACATGTCTGTTTTGATAGGTTTTAGATTCCATGTATTTTATGAGCCAATCCAACAATGAGCTGCTCCATGTGAGACTATAATCAAGTTTCTGTCTTGATCTATACAATTTGTGGACTAATTTGAGGCTCATGTATTCTGGGTTCTCTGATAAAAACTGTTCCATTGGCTACTTAAGATTTGATATCTATATTATAGAGCATTTTGACTAATGAATGGTATGGTTGTTCTTTTTTTCCTCTTTAATTGTGATAATGTTGATCATTCTGCATTATCTTGAGCTGGGTTTTTGCAATGGACTTATGGATTGAAGTACCATTGTAATTAGTAGAATAAGAACTTGGTTATTGAGGGGTTTGGCAAATAGTAATATCTAGTAGCTATAGGAAAATTTCATGAAGAATACATGGAAAATCGCATCAGTTCTTTCTTAGACAAACTCTCCGTACTTGATCCATATTGGCATGGTGAGGTTGAGAGGAGGTGTGGCATCATATATACGACCTTAATGGCATTTCACACACTCTTTTCTTCTTTTGTTTGTAACTCCTATGGGTGAATTTGGGTCCCTTGCCCAATGTGCTTGATATAAGGACTCTTCCTTATTTTACTATTTAAGAAAAAGATGTTTACATCATACACTCCTCCCTAAATCAAGGTGTCAAAAAACACCTCTATCTCTAACACCTGCATGCACCTCCAAAATTTCCCACTTACCCTCCTTCCAATCCCCTGTGTGCCTTGTCAACCAAAGTGAATTATTTGCTCTCATAAACTAACCTAAAGTTTTTCTCTAATTTCCCCCAATTCCTTCTCTTCTCACTCACTCACTCACTCAAAACATTCTGTCCTCTGATGTTCGGAGTTCAATTAACATCTTCTCTCTCAAGAAATCTCGTCTAATTTTTTTCACTCATCCCTGCACGTCAACCTCCATAATCAGGAGTAAATGACTTGTTAAAATACAAACAATATGTCCTCAAAACTTCAGAAAATTTCTCTCACTTCAGAACTAACTGTGTTTCTTAACCCATTCCTGAAGTGCATATCAACCTCCATCAAATGAAGGGAACAACTCAAACACGAGAACTTTTTACAGTACAATATTCTCCATTTTGTTTCAGAGACATTCTTGAGTCTCCATTGCAACCAAATCAACCTCTCTTCCTATGTTACATGGATTCTTCTATTTGCTTGTCATACCATGTCTGGTATGTATGAGACAAACACTGACGCAGATTCTTCCTCTTCTTCTTTATTAACCATTAATAACAACATTTTAGAAACAATTCTTTTTTTTTTTTTGGTTTTTATTTTGAGTAGGCACATGTGAAGTTAAAAAATATCTATGGATTTGGCTAACCATGATATGATGGACTTTTTCTTGCTACTCATCAAGAAAAGACATATGGATAAAACATTGTGGGATTTGGTTCTCTTCATAAAATTTCTTTTTCACTGAATCGTCTTCTTCATGGCAAGAGGAATTTGACACTCTGTGTTCACTACTAACTCACGAACCTTTGTCCATGCAACACAGTTCTCTAGTAAACTCGCCCATGACCTTGTGATCCAAGTTCTGAGAAAAACCCTGAATTAACCCAAAGTTTTCCTTCATTTCTTCAATTGGGCCAAGAATGAACAAAGATTTAGCCATGATTTGAGATCATACTGCGTCATGATCCATATACTGGCTCAAGAACCCAAACAGCAATGAGTGTGTTGCCAAATTTGCAAGATCCATAAAAATTTTTTCCACGTGATGCAAAATCAGGGGTTAAGTGTTTACCAGACATCCACTCCATAACCTTAAGGCATTGACAATCCCGATTCCTTGTGTAACCATCTAGAATCATGTTATAGATCACGATGTCTGGTCCAAGACAGACTTTTGCTGTCATGGCTTCCTTGTGAGGTAGGTGGGAAACCATGCCAAAGGTCCCCACGTTAATTTCAATTCCATTCCGAACCATAATTCCAAAAAATTTCCCAAGCTAATTTAATTTGTCCCAATTCACAAAGTCAATTAAGAAGCACATTAGACCCTAAACCATAAACTATGAATCTTCACAACCTTGAATACCTCAATAGCATCAGTAATGCTTCGTTTCTTGGAGTTAAGTCTCTAAATGTAGTGGAAGGGCTGAAGATGTATAATTCCTGCAACTAAATGCTTCAACTATGGGTTCGACTATTTGACTGTTTCTTCATATGTATGGAGGAAGGGAGTGAGGGAGGGAGCAGGAGAGGGAGTGTGGGGACCTGGCAGAATTAGAGACAAACTCAGGTTAGTTTATGAGAAAATATGAGAAAAAATAATGGCTTTGGTTGAAAGGTGTGGATGGTGTTGCGTGGAGATAAATGTGACGTGTGGCTGTATGTATGTGTTCTAGAGCTGAGGTGTTTTTTTGACACCTTGGCTTGGGGGAGGGTGTATGATGTAAGTTGCCCTTAATGAAATATTTTTCACAGTATTGAATGCCTGAACCCCCACATTCTATTATTGGGTAGTCTTGTGTAATTTGTTGTAATATGCTTCTTAACTTCCGAGTAAATTTAGTTCATTTTACAGTTGTTATTGTGGTTCCTTCTCCAAAATGACTTTTTACATGGAGCCTAGGATTATATTTAGGAATTGTCTTTCATTTCTTATCTGAAGTCCTTTGTGTTGATGTTGTAAAAGTCACCCAACTGGTATATGGAGGATAATGTGAAAGTCCTTAGTGCTCTTTGAAAGTGAAGCTTTTGCTCTCATTTCGTCGTCTAGTGAGGCTTCTGCTCTCTTTCCATCGTCTTTCTCTACGGTTTTCTGCTAGTCCCCAGTCGATCGTATGTTAACTATGCTAGTTTAATCTTTGCACATTGGATCACATGCTTTTGCATTTTTACTGTGCACACTGCACTAATTTGATACCGCGTCATGTTCGCCACATTTCAGTTCTTTTGAAATGCTGAAATTAATTTCTTGTAGGACATTGATGTTGTGAAACCCAAGGAGCTGGCAAACAAAGGGCAGAATGTACAACAGAGCCATGGCCAGGTGAGTGTTATTAAATGTTCTGCTCAGTATCATCTTTTTATCGTCATAGTAAGTTTATTTATTTTGCCGAATATATAATTCTCAAAATTTTGCTGTAATGGATTTGCAGAAATTCGGGTAATCGAGGACTTGACTATTATTGTCTATTTGAACTAGCTGAAAAGCTGATGACCAAAATGATTTTCTCTTTAAATGGGATTTGTGAGAAGTGGCTTAAAATGGGGATGTCCTGTCCTGTCATTAGTCTTTGCATCCTTTCTAACATGTTGCATCGACATCACCGTCCTTCATGATGCTGAACATCTGGATCTTGTTCACTCAAGTCATTCAACCAAGTTGATATGAGGGAATCATCATATATCTTAGTGACGTTCGCTGGTAGCAAAAGTGATTGTAAGAATTATTATTGATAGTTTGTGTATTGGAGATATTCTCTAGCTATCACTTTCATTGTAAATCTATGGTGTAATTTGAGCCTTTCGTTTCGGAAATCTTTCTCGTTCTCCATTATTGTGTTGATAGAGGATGGCCACCTCTAGTAGTGTATTTGTTGTCAAACAAGAAAAACACTAGCATTCATGTTTGCAGCTTATCTTGCTAATGGTGAGACTATCATTACCGCCTCGACAATTAGACATCCAACTCGTAATCGCAGCGACCTGAGCTCTATCAACTGAGCTATATCCCCCGAGCCAAATGGAGCATGCATAAACGAGTCAGATGTTTCTTCTATTCCATGGTGCAGCTGGCCCATCCTGGGTTGAACCAAAGACAATATACCTAAATTGAACTTGAGCACTCCGTTTTTTGGTGATAATGACTTGCATAATGATCTCTAATTCACAATTGATGTCTTGTCCCCTAGTACTAATAGTATTATCGGTATTCGGGGCACAAATATTGTATTTCTAATCAACCTGGAGAAACACTAGCATTCATGTTTGCAGTTTTCCCCACTAATGGCAAGATTCGCCTGGTCTAACTTTAACTGCTTGATTTTTTGTTGTCGTATGGACTTGTGTAACGACCTCCAGTTACTATTGATTCTCTTGTCCACTAGTACAGAAACTACTACAATATTCGGATAATAATATCCTCCCATTGACATTACGTAATGATCCTCTTACTCTGGGTGCAACTTTAACCAAGGTATAAAACCTCTAGTTCGTGCTTAAGTTTCGCAAATATGATGAGATTTTTAATTAAGATCGGAGTTTCGGTAGCCATCGAGATCTTGCAGAATCTTGATTTGGAGGGGGGAGCAGCTTAAGAGATCATCAACAAGAATACATAAAATCAGGTGGGAGCTTCTATGGGTTTGTAGTTCTGGAATCAGGAATGCTGAAAACTTGTAGTAGGGGCAAGGGGGACATATTTCCATCATAAAAATTGGCGCAGTAGAAGGGCAATAAATCTCTCTCTCTCTCTCTCTTCTGTGCTATGGAATTTTGATGAGACTTAATTAAGCTCTAAGAAATAAGTGGAAGTGGATGAGCTTATCATCTATGGTTTCATGATATATCTTTGCTAATCTTCTAGAGTTACCGTCTCTTGCTTGTGTACATTTTTGAAAGGGAAAGTATATAATGAGACCAATACAAGGTGGTTGCAGTTAATGTTAATTATTCGATGTGAAATTGGGTGGCTGTATTTATTTCATTGATCAAGTTCAAAGGTTTAATTTTTTTTTCAAACTTTGTGACACTCAAACTATAAAATTTCACATTAGATGATTATAAATAATTGTGACCTCTCTGTATACAATCTTTTTCATGCATTCCCAGGTTGTAAGAGACCGCTTTTTGAGAGAGAGAGAGAGATCGCTTTGGATTTACCCTTCTTGGACGATCTTTTGGAGAGAGATTTTCCACGTGAGACAGAGAGATTTTCTATGTAAAAAATAATTGTTTATGTCTGGCTTGTAGGCAGAATAATAAATAGGGATTGTATACATTATGACCGTCTATTTTTTATACAAAGTGCTCACAATTTTTTATAACTATTTGATTTGAAATTTGATAGCTTGGATGTGTCATAAAGTTTGGAGAAATTTCTTTTGAAGTTTGAGCTTGGTCGATAGAATAATTGCAGCCACCGAACTTTACATCCAATGGTCAAGATTATTGCGACCACCTTGTATAAAAAGGTAAATATAAATGGTCTCATTGTATATTTTTCATAATAAATAATCTTTCCTTGTCTTATCTCTAAATAAATACGCAAACCTCTTGCATGTTACAACCCCAGACATATGTGAAGATTGGAAATTGGAAACCGTGGGCCACATGGAGGCATTTTGTCATTAGCCCATATAGTGTGAGCCTGTGGTAGTAAGTTGTACATTTGTCCCTTTTGATCTTAATTTTTTTTCCGCTTTAAAATTACAGTCCTAAATTTTGTTCCACTTTAAAATTACTATTTGAGTAACTTAACAAGAAAAAAAAAAAAGGATTTTGAGTTGACCTGTCCAATGTTCATCCAAAAATTGGATAGTATGTACTCAATCCTCGGCATGGTTTTTCTCAATTCACTTCTGATATTATATTAGTTCTGTCTCTTTAGTTTGGCACTCACATTCTTAAAATTTAGGGTCCTGAAAAATACTCCAAAGGGAAATATTATCTTTTCAATTATGTAATTTCAAAGTTGGTGTCCTGTAATATACACAGAAATGAAATATAATCTTTTCAATTCTGCAATGTCAAAGTTGGAGAAAGGGTAGAGAAAAACATGCATTGACCCCAGTGATTAGTGAAGCTTGATAACAGCGGGCTAGAGAATAAGAGCAAGACTAACCGGCTTTAAGTACAAATCCCCATATCAATCCACAGTTTTCTGTTTTCTCTTAAGAACTCTCCTAGCAAAGGATGGGATGCAATGGATGCACCAAATATAACTTTCCAGGAGTTTTGGGGAGGCATGCAACCTTTTGTTAAAGTCTTTGACATCGCCATAGGTAAGCTTTTGATCTCTGTTAGGCAGTGTTTGCCAACCTGAAAACTCGACAAGATCCCAAAGGCTCCCTGGTCATGTTACCTGTGAACCTTTGGGATTAACTCGACTGCGCCTTGCGATAAATTAGAAAGCAAGCGTGACTAGAATGAAACTTGATACAAGCAATCGATCTTGGCTAAAACTCGATGGACCCGGTTGGGTTTGGTTAGAACCTGATAGCGTCCATCAAGTTACATTTCCTTTCAGGTTTGGGTATATAACATGGCATGATTTGACTTCGGTGTGGATTGAACCGACCATGTCCTGTAAGGCCTGATCTGGTCTGCAAATCGTGCTCACAGATTGCATCCCTTCTCTTATATTGTTTATACGTGAGAGAGAGAGAGATGGGGGGTGTCTCAGAGAGGGTGTGTGTATGTATATGTTTGACAGAGAGAGAGACTTTAGTTCTAGTTTTTATTGAGGGATTTCCAGGTTCACAGTCTTCAGAAAATAATCAAATCTCTATGCTTATAATTCTCATACGCGAGTTTTTCATCTTTCAGCTTCAATTATGGGGCTTTCAATGCTTTATAGAATTTTTCGCTGCATTGAGAAGAAGGCAAAGATATCGTACTCACAAATCGAAGAAGTGGGCAATGAACCTCCCCTAATTGTTGAACTCCTCAACAATATGGAGAAGCTCAAGCCCACAAGGTTCACCTCTCACCATCTCAATGTTGCGACCTCAAACTTCACCCATAAGCTAGGTGCAGGTGGTTTTGGTGAGGTCTATAAGGGCAGTCTCCCAAATGGGAATAGTGTGGCTGTAAAAGTCCTAAAGGGCAGCTCTGACGAACAAATTGAAGCTCAATTCATAGCGGAGGTGAGCACCATTGGAAGAACCAACCATGTTAATTTAGTCAGGCTCATTGGCTTTTGCGTTGGAAATACCATCAGGGCATTGGTTTAGGAGTATGTGGAGAGAGGCTCACTGGATGGCTTCTTGTTCGGGTAAGAAAGGAAAACTGGGGTTTGATAAGCTCAGTAAGATAGCGATCGGAATGGCAAAGGGCATAGCATACCTTCACGAGGATTGCCAGGATCGAATGATTCATTATGATATAAAACCTGGCTATATTTTGCTCGATCAAAATTTCTCCCCTAAAGTTGCAGATTTTGGTTTGGCAAAGCTCTGCAATAGGGATGCCACCCATGTTACCATGACAATAGGAAGGGGCACTCCTGGCTATGCGGCCCCTGAGCTAGGGATGCCATGTCCTGTTACTCATAAGTGCGATGTTTATAGTTATGGGATGTTACTGTTTGAGATTGCAGGGAGGAAGAGGAATTGGAGGTGAGCCTTCCTGAGAGCCAAGAATGGTTTCTTAGATGGGTTTGGAACAATTTGGAGAGAGGTGAGATGGAAGAAATTGTGAAGAGCTGTGAGATTGAGGAGGAGGATAGCGAAATTCTCGAGAGAATGATTATGGTTGCTGTTTGGTGTGTTCAATACAAGCCTGAATTGAGGCCATGTATGAGTAGTGTGGTAAAGATGTTGGAAGGAGGAATTGAGAACATTCTTCCACCGAACCCTTTTGCTCATTTGGTTGCTAGGCCATCTGTCATGGATTGGTAGCAATTTGGAGAGAACTGAAGAAGAAACCATTGTGGATTCACAACAATTTGGTGGGACATTTGAAAAGGAACCATATTCTGAGACTACCCCTATCATGAGCAAGTTTGAGATAACTGTTGCTTCGTCATAAAAGCACTATGTAATTATTAATGTATATCTTTAGCTAGTAGTATTGGCACCTAGTTCTAATTCTGATGTTTGTAATTTGAATCATTTGTTTTTCTTCATCGATGTGAAGAAATTTGATGGATTTCAGGCAGCTTTGCACCCTTGGGCCTTGGAACTCCTGTGTTTAAAAAATCATCAGTTTGACTCGAAACTGGCCGAGTCGCTCACTCAGAACTAAGTCTAAAGCGGTGCACATATTGGGACTCTAAATCATTCATATTAATTCAGTGGAACTTCTTTGTTTGGGCTAAGTTTTCGTGCCCCCGGGACCCTCCCCCTCTCTTTTTCGGGCTATTTTTTTCGTGCCACCGTGCCAACCCCCTTCCCCTCTCTTTTTCTCTGTATGCAACTTCCATACCCATAGGGAATGTTTATTGTAGAATATCTCCAAAATATGAATTCAACGAAACTTTCAAATCCTATAAACAAAATTTGCCCCCCATACCATGAATTCAGTGAAAATTTCTGTTCTTTTATGCAATGCTTACCCTGTAGCAATTGTTGGATTCATAATAAATCCTATGGATCTTTGGGATTCGTAGATCATTTTATATCGTGTTGTTTCGAATCATAGATGAAACCAAGGGTCATAATTCCTTCTACCCACCCTGTATATGGTCCTCTTTGTTTCGTGTTGGAACCCAGACTTATTCCAAGAAAATAAACTCTACAGAGGAGGGAACACATCTTTCTCTTTTGGATGAGGATTTGTCCACGGCATGGGAAAATATCATTTTTATTGAAAAAAAAGGGTTCTATCATCATATAG